GTAGGGTTCATTTAGTTTGCTTGTTTTGAGTATTGTTTTCTTTTAACTGACTTCGGCCTGTAGATTGTGTTTTAAATATTTTAAATTTGACAATTTAAATACATAAATTGTCAAAGTTGAAACAGTCTCATTCCTTGAAGTTGAACGTGCCTTGGCGTCATATGTTATGAGCTGGAATAATCATGTTCAAACGTTTGTATTCAAACTGCCTGTTATCTAATCTCTGCTCCTTTTTATTTCTTTCTTCTCTGATTTGCTTTCTTTTAGTTCAGATTCCAAGGTGTTCAAAACAAGACGACGTCAATGATTTTTTTTTTTGTTAAAACCACAATGTACATTCAAACCAAAGCTGTGTTCGTCTCATTTTCTTTATGGTAATAAGCCCTGTCAGATATTGGCGTTGATGCTGCAATATGATTGTCAATTAGTTGTCAGGCAGGTAGACATAGATGACATCATACAGTATTTATTAGTACCTCTAACTGAACACATGAAGTTGAATGTTAACCTTTACAATCATTTCTGTCTACTGAAACCCTTTCAAATTAAAAGTATGAAATCACCCCATGACCTCACATATTTGATATTATCTTCTGTGCTTCATTTTTTTTTTTTTTTGACATTCGTCATGTCTGCGATGACGGTGAAATAAACCAGATCCCGTAAGATTGTACGAACGGACGACATAAACAGATTCCACGTCGGACAAAACTGAACCATTTCGTGTCGTTAAATGTGACAGAAACAGATAAGGGTTTTTTTTTTTCTATTTCCTCCTCGTTTATTTTACAGCATGAGATGAGAATACCCTGTTTTCAAGGAAACGAGGCAAGCTACCCTCCCCCTGACCCCTCCCCCAGGAAGCCTTCACCACGCTAACACGTTCCAGGTACCGTCCTGAACAAATTGATGTCTTCGTGGAGTCGTGAAGGTACAGTGTGATGTCACCACATACAGATGTCGGCTCAGTTGTTTCTATAAATACAGTTGACCGGTCGCCTGAAGCACAAGAATGTAATTTTCCGCTATTGTGATTTTTCTTTTTTTTTTCCATTACTACACTTCATCGGAATTTTTTTTTTCCCCTTCCGTTTCAGTCTGTAAACATTTCCCTAGTATTTAACGCCTCCAGATGCTAGAAGGGGTTAATGCGAAGTCCGGTTCCCAAAGGAGAGAAGGGGTTGACCTTGGCCCACATTAGAGCGTCATTCAGGGAGATTGCTGATTTCCCATCTTCCAAGAGAAACACCGGGCCCTGGGTGTCAAGGAATAAAAGAAAACGGACTTAAGCACTGATGGGATTGGGATTTTTTTTTTTTTTATATGGGGAAAAAATGGCAAATCATCCCCAAACTAAGACTGAGTGAAGATTTCTTGGGTCACCGGCGCTGCTCTGCTGTTGGCTGTAGGTAAGCTAAAGGTTGCCCAGATTCAAAACGTGGCACAGTGCCGAACATATTCATCATGCCAGCATGGAAACCATCAACTTGTTTCTCATGCTGGCAATACTTTCTCAACTTTATAGTGTTTGCGTATGTTGAAAGACACTACTGTATTTTTTTTTTTTTGAGACGCACTAAAAAAAAACCTAGCGTGCCGGGTTTGGCCCACGGGCTGTATGTTTGACACCCCTGCACTAAAATCTGAAAATCCTTCCAAAAAAACTTCCCTTTGTTTTGTCACCTAGCGCATGTCTGTATTTGTGTCTTTTTTTTCATTAAAATAATTATATATTGACCACACACCTGTATTCTCTGTCCAGTGAAGCAGGACAGCTGGACGTCAGAATGGCTCGGTAGGTTGGAGCCCGTCACGTAATCGGCCCCACGGAGGACTAACACAGCTGTGGAGAAAACACATGACACGTGCTTATTGTTGGATAGATGGGTTAGGACGCAGTAGGATGTGGCCCAGAGTTTGGGTCTCACCAGAGTCGGATGGCTGAATCCTCCTCTGTAGGCTGTTGAACTCCTCCTTCTGACTCTCCGATGGTGCACTGTGTACAGCGGACAGGACCGTTGTTTAGGTACAAGTGTCAACGTCACACCTCACCCGCATTGATTTTGTCACAAGGCTTTCATTTTATTAGGATCTAACGTTCGGCTGCTGTTGTTTCAAACCTACTTGCTGTGGCTCTGTGTACAAGCTCGCCAGGCCTCCAGCTCCACCGACAGCTGCTCAATCTTCAGAGGAACACACACCTCCTTGCGCTTCAGCAGCTGACTGAAAATTGGGAACGCAATATGTCGATTACACCTTTAACTTTAAGTCTAACGAACTGCCGTCCCCAAAATGTTTCGGACTATTTTAAAGAATTTACAGTGTACCTGCCAAATGTAGCCAGGTCATGGTAGTGGTTCTCAGTTATTTTGGGTTACCCTGGGCTACAGAAATTTTTTGTCACGCCTACCCCTGGATTAAAAAATTATTGAAAACCTCTAATATGCAATTGCAATATTTTCTATTTTTCTGAAAATCACTGTATGAGTTGCTGCCACCTACAGACTGGAGGATTGTTTTAGCATTACAGCAGTGGCAGACTTCTGTCTAGCGCTGCCGTGGGCAAACTTTTTTTGGAAAAAAATTTGGAAAGTACTGGATGGCCAGATTAAAAAGCTGAACTTTTTAATATTAAAAAATATTAATTTTTAATATTAAGCCATCTGGCCCCAGGGCCTTCGTTAGCCCATGCCTGGTTTTAGTGTGTCATATTCCATCGGAAGCCTGCCCCCTCCTGGACAAAATGTGTATAAATGTCAGGTGTGTGTACATGTACCTGGTATATTCATAAAGTGCAGGTACAATGCTGGAGTACTGTCTTCTGATGGCCAGCAGGGCTCCGGTATAACCGCACAGGATCAGCAGCTCACTGCGAGCTCTGGGTACAAACACGTGAAAGGTTTATGTAGGAGACGATGGAGGAGACGGATGATTGGAAAAAGAAAAAAAAAAACAAAAAAAACAAAAAAAAAAACATCAACAGCGATGACGTTGTTTTTACTCTGTCAGCTTGGACATCATGAGACGATCCGTTCGGATGTAGCTCATCAGGTCAAGGATGTGATGAACGCTGTCCACCGTCCAATCAGATCCACTCAGCTGCTCTGGTGAGGAGGAAGTTCACAGTTGACTGTTAGCTCTGTTACCACAGCACCTCAAAAATAATCATTTTAAAATAGGAGGATGATGGGTTCATTCAGCATCTATATCATACGTGTCAAACTCAAGGCCCCGGGGGCCAAATGCGGCCCGCCAAGCCATTTTATGTGGCCCGCGGGAGCTTAAAAAGCATTGAATAAAGTCCATGCAGCAGAGTTTATCAACATATGAAATTAAAAGTTTTTTTTTATTACACAGCATTGAACAATATTTGTAGCTTGAATAAATAATAATCAATTGCAGATACATGTTTTAGTCTGTTATGGAGGAGCTACATCTACCAGACTCTAGCCTGTTTGTATCAAAGTCTGAATGACTTTTATTTTTAAAATATTGCCAGATTATCATCAAATAAAGAAAGTAAATGAACTTTTTTTTTTCTTTTTTTTCACTGTGTCCCACTGCGGGCTGGTACCAAAGGACCTATAGACTTGTACTGGTCCGCGAACCGGGGGTTGGGGACCCCTGATCTATACAGTCTTCCATTTAAAACCGGCCCTTCAACAGGAACTGTATTGCTGATGTGGCCCCCTGGTGGAAATGAGTTTGACACCCATGACATCTATATTGTTTGAAAAACCGTTGGCGGAAACTACCTTTGATGTGATCGATCCCCAACTGCAGTGCATTCTCAGGCTCAGGACTGAGGAGGTGAAATTTAACTGCCGAAAATAAGTCTCCTTCAGACATGGCTGCCTCTGCCAAGGCCTTACACTCCTCTGATGGAGGGAGACCACACTGGAAGAAACGGACAACAACATGTCATTTTTATTTATTTTTATTTTATATAAGTTACGGACCAAAGGCGGGTGTGAAAAGTAACAAATTACATTTACTCACGTTACTGTAATTGAGTAGTTTTTGTGAGTAATTTGTCATTTTAAAGTAGTTTTGGTATTCTTCACTCAAGTATATTACCTTGCTACATGTGAAAAGAACCAGTTACTGAGTAAAAAAATTAAATAACAATCTGTGTTAACTGAAAGAAAATTTTGTGCGCAAAAAAAGTGCATATGGTTTGAATTTGCAGTATAAACATTCAAATGGATGTGTAGAATTTCAGTAATGTAAAGATATTTTGACTTAATTACATTTTTTAGTATTTTTTGACTTTGGCTAAAGGTATCGTATTTCCCGGACTATAAGTAGCTGAATAAGTCGCACCAGCCAAAAAACACATAATGAAGAAGAAAAAAAACACATATATAAGTCGCTCCAGAGTATAAGCCGCACCAGGCAGCTAGAGTGCCCCCTAGCGGCTGTCAGTGTGAAAATAACAAACGTGTAATTTTTCCGTGGGACATGAGTAGCAGATACTGGTGCGCAAGCCTAGAGTGCCCTCTAGTGGCTGTCAGTGCGAAAACAAGAAACATGAAATTATATATTTTATTATTATATATAAGTCGCAAACCCAGCCAAAGGATAAGTAAAGGTGAGACTTATAGTCTGGAAGATACAGTAATTATACTAGCTAAATTCTAACGAGCTCAAATTTACCACCTCTGGTCAGATTACTCTACATTACTCTGTGTTTGGGAGAAACTTAGAGTATCCATGGACAGAAGAAAAAGGGCCTCCACTCACCCGTTCGTGCAAGTGATTGATTTCGGCTGGACTTCCAGGGTAAAGAGAACACAGTTTAGCCAATAAAACCTGATTATCTGGAATCATTTGCAGGAGATTAGCAGACAGCTCCCTGGAAGACAGTGGAAAAATGGAAGGAACATGAAAACAGAACAGCGCTCAAAGAAGATAAACTACATTTTTGTCAATACATATGGGGCGAACGCAAGCCCAGCCAATGCAAAGTGCTCCTCTGAAGCCAGATGTACCATGTGTGCGTGGTCATGTACTTCCTAGCCAACAGTTCAAGGCAGTACGCGGTGGTCTGACGGGCGGCTTCTCCCAGAACGATGCCGACACATGAAGCCAGCTCCAGCTCATTACCTCTGATCAGGGTGCACAAGGCCATCTGCAGAGACCACAGACTTCATGTCACATGACACAACAGAAACACCCACTCAGACAAGGCCTGTGTGTGTGTGTGTGTGTGTGTGTATACACACCTTAATGTTGTCCACAGCTAGGTGACAACATGCAGCGAGGACAGAGCAGCCGTCCTGAAAATACCACTCGGCCAATTCTTTACAGACCCTGTGTAGCAGACTGGACAGAGAGAACAGCAGAAGGTCAGAGGTCAGGGTTCTGAGGTGGAGACGTGGAGGGACGGCTTGTTTGTTACCTCTGGTACTGTACGGTGTCCACGTCGTTAGTTGTGTGGTTGACAGGGGAGGTCTGAGGGGCACGAATGTTTCCTTCACATGCTCCCTGGAAAAAACAATATTTTCTTTACTATATTCCAGTCTGAATTTAACTAAAAGATATTTAATTTATTGTAAAAAAAAAAAAACATTTGTACAATGTTTCACTAAGCTCACCAGACCTACAAAACCTTTTAAATGTCCAAATCCATGTAAATGTGGAGACATGGCTGCAACTGACCACAGTCAAAAATAAAAATTAAATAAATTAAATATCAATAGAATAATTTTCCAGAAGGTAAAAGTTATAAGGAGACAGATTTGACATGAGAAATATTTACATTTACTTCACCTCAACATCAGAATTATATCTGTGTCTTATCCTATCGTATCTTTAGCTTTATTTACTTCACCACTCCCTGTTGGATATTACCCATCATGCTTTACTAAGGCATCAACGAGACTAGAATACAGCTAAAAATCCATTAAAAAATATGTTACCAAGGTGACAAGAATAAAAAACTAGGGGAGAATACAGCTAAAAATCCATTAAAAAAATGTTACCAAGGAGACAAGAATAAAAAAACAAGAAACTTAGCTGACTTAGCCTAGCTAACTTAGCTTAGCTGACTTAGCTTAGCTGACTTAGCTGAGCTGAAGTTACATCATTAAGTCCTATTGGTTACCTTATCTAACAGTGCCCTACATTACAACACACGCAGGCCAGCTCCATTGCTCTCCTGTCAATTTACACTACAGCAAACCAAGCTGCGTTTGAGTGAGAAAACTCTGATAACATGTTTGCTTTTCAGAATCACAGTCCAGGTCATAACAAGGACCTACGAGTCTGTCCATTATCATCCGTCTTCTTCAACAATCTACCCACCCGCCTGACTCTGGCAGGGCCAGGTTCCAACATGCTTTCTCTTCACTATCGTGTATAATCAGATATAAAACAGTTTCTGCTCAGTGACGGTACCTGTGCGATAAGTAAGGCCTCCAGCAGTTGTCCTCGGCCACTGAAGAATGTTACCAGCTTTTTGACGTCTGCTGTGGCAATGCAGTATGGGATAGCATCGTCATTATCTTCAGCCATGAGTTGATCTGCCCTCCTGGGTAAAAAAAAAAAAATCATTTATTTTATGTTTAGTATTTTTGTTGCTGTGGAGCTAGGGTTTTTTTTTCAGGTTGAATTTAAGATTTGCGTGAAATTAACGTTTTTCGCCTTTTAAGAAACAGTTCGACTTCTGATGCCCGGTTTAAAAGGATGTTGTTAGCATATAAATCTGATTGAAGAATGTCACAAGGCAAAACATTAGCTCTTAACATCCGAGACACTAATGCAGTGTTATTTTATTGTTTCATGCACCCCCTAGGGGACAGAGGTTTTTTCACACCCTCCACCCTCCCGATTAAAATACTATTGAGCGCCTGGTAATATTTATCTGTTGATCTGTAAAGACTGTATGAGCGCTTCTTCTACTAGGTTGAACAGGTGGCCTTCTCTGCTGCCATCTAGTGACTGGAGGCTTGTTTATCGTTCAAGCATGATTAAAAACAGTATGCTTAAAGTCCCCTCATCAACTCCGGTATGGTGTCATGTGTTTTAAGATTTTTTTTTTTTTAAATAAACCTTAGTTAGCAAAAATTGTGTTCAGCAAGCTAATTGTGCCATATTTTAGTTTTCATTTATTTTTACAGAGAGTAACAGTAAATAGTTTAATTACAGAAACACCGTTAAGTATTTTATTAACAAACTAAATACCAGAATAAAAACGTAATAATTAAGTTCAGGCTTTTTATGTTAAAAAAAAAAGACATAAACATTGTTTACCTCTGCATTAGCTTCTTCCAGTATTTCATGGAAACACCAGGAGCCACAGCTAAGGCTTTCTCCCACTAAAAAAGAGGAAAAGAAAAAAAAAGATCACAATATTTTTCGTATAATATAAGTCGCACTTTTTTCATCCTCCGGCTGGGTTTGCAACTTATACTCACGTGCGACCTATATATTTAAATATATAATTTTACGTTGGTTATTTTCACACTGATAGCCACTAGAAGGCACTCTAGGCTTGTGTACCAGTAGCTGCTACTCATGTACCACTAAAAATGTTTGTTATTTTCACACTAACAGCCACTAGAGGGCACTGGTACACTTATACGTATGTTATATGTTTTTTTCTTCTTCATTATGTATTTTTTGGATGGTGCAATTTAAACATACTCTGGAGCAACACTAATTAATGGGTGATAGAAGTTAATAAAGCTAGCTTAAAATGTTAATATAATGTTTTCCAGCAGAAACAAAACTAAGTAAAAACATCCTTTCTGAAAACAAACAATACTGTAATATTTGGTACGTTTCCTTGTACTGCTTGCATGTAAAAATTGATATCCCAGGATATGATAGCGATGAAACTGCCCTCTGCTTCAGACACACACTCACCTGTCCCAGCTCCACCATCAATTCACAGTATCGTTGAATTTGTCCCAGTCTCAGGTGGATGTCCGCTGCCTCCTTAAGTCTCTCCTCTTTACTGGGAGCTCCGATTCCTCCTCCAAATTTACACATCTTGACGATTGTCAGCTCCTGAGCCTCCGACTGCAGCACAAGACACGAATGAACTTGTGTGAGAAAAACTATTTGCATATTTGAATTACAACTTTTGTTCATAAAGTGTGAATGTTTAATTTGCTAACAGGGCTTTAAAAAAAAAGAAAAAAAAAACGTTTCTCACAGTTTTGAACTTGAGTAGGTGCTTCATGTGCATCACTCCTTTACTGTAGCTGCATGGCAGAAGAGAGTCGTCCTGGCCGTTAATGACGGAGACCAAGTCCCACAGGTTGCTGCTGCCTCCTGGTGGCTGAAAAGGTCAAAATTTCAAAAAAATAAGTTCAGAATTTACTAAATAAAAAAAATGCATTATTAAGGGTTGTTATAGACTTTAATGAGCATATATGTTTGTCTGGACATTTAACATTGGCTGTTAAAAAATAAAACAATAATTTGATGTGTCGTGGCAAAGAAGACAAGTGTCCGTTCACCGATAATGGAATGTTCTGGTTGTTTTTACCGAAAAGCATTCGGAGAACCAGCGCAGCCTTTTGGAACTGATGTCTGCGCTCAGTTTGTCCAGCTCCTGTTTGATGTCTCTCGACACTTTACCACAGAGCAGAGGAGGAGACCCAGGAACCATGGCGGTGTCTGCGGAGACAAATGAGCAGTGGGCAACAGCAGAGACATGTTGGCGGTGCTAGTTATACAACAACATATAATAGGTTTTTAACAGGGCGTCAGTGCCCTCCAGGGGCCCATGAGGGCACTACAGAAAATCTCGAGACTCTTTAATTAGGCATGTCCGGTGCTGATATCCAATAAGCAGATAGAATCCAAACATTTGTTCTATAATTTCCATATTAACTGATACCAATACATGCAGCCGTTTACAGCACACCACTTTCACTTTCACTTTCACTTCAAAACTATTTTCAGGTCACATCATCTGAGCCAAAACCAGGCAAGAAAAAAAAAACGATAACGATTCTTACAGATGTTGCATACAATTATGCTAATATTAGCCAATAACATCGGTTGCTCTAGTTTATTTCGTTTAGTTTATTTAACTCTAGTTTAAATCCTTTTTACTATTATCGGTTATTAGCATAACTATGTAATATCGATACGAATCATTGTCGGTTTTTCCTCCAATAATGAAATGATCCGATCACCAAATGATAAGACTTCAAATAGTTTTAAAATGAAAGTGAAAGTGTAATATTGTCATTGTGACACTGCACACCAGTGCACACTATGAAATGTGTGCAGGGTTGTGTTGATACAACTGCATATATCGCTATCGGTCATTTCAACAATATCGTCATATAGGATATCGGCAAACAGTTAATATCAGACGTCTCTCTGCTTTTTACATACTGTCGCTTCATGTTGAATGTAATGTGTCCAAAAGGTGGGTTTATTTCAGGATCAGTTGTACATAATACAGTATTTCAAATAAATACACTCAAATAATATGAAGAAACTCAACACGAGGGGTCACCATCTTGCCCGGGGTCACCTGCTAGCCCCCGTGGACTAATCTAAGGTGCCCTCAGGGTACGTTGTAAAAGTAAAACTAGTCAACAAGATGGTCAAAACTTGTACTCTTACTGTTCTTTTTAAATCAGTTACACCGTGCAGTGATATTCAAATGGGTCCAATGACGATGGTAAGAAGAGAGTGTACTATTGTATGTCCCTGAACTACCGTAATTTCCATACTATTGAGTGTTAATATTGTCATTGTGACGCTGCACACCACTGCACACTATGAAATGTACATATATAGGCCGCACTTCTCTATAAGCCCGTAAAAATCCCGAAATTAGCCGCTTCATTGTTCAAGCCGCAGGGTTCGAAGCTGATGAAAAAAAGTAGAGGCTTTATAGTCCGTTAATTACGGTAATTATTATTACATCGTTCTGGACGTCTGTATCAAATAAGTAGCTCTTCGTATAACTGAGTGACCCTGAAGTAGCGCTCAGTTTCAAAAAGGTTGGAGACCCCTGGTCTAAAGAGAGCGCTGTGGAGTGAGAGACACCACAGGTCTGTGGTTCTCACCTGTGTTTCCAATGATCTTCTCCCACGGCTGCCCTGTCAGGATGTTGAGGAGCAGAGGGGAAACGACAGGAGTCAGAGACCAGAGTCTGACGGTACTGTCTCTGCTGCAGCTGGCCATGGTGAAAGGACGACTCTGGTGACAAGTCAGACCTCAAACACAATTGAAAAGGAAGAAGAAGAAAAAAAATTCAGAATCATTTGTTGCCATGGACATTTCATCAATAAACACATTCGTTCTTTTCGTTTGGTCAAAATGTGTGCAACTTTTTGTTACTCTGCTTTAAACAATCAGTTTTACCATAGACATCAGCTCCATGGTCGTAGGCCGTGTCCAGACAGGTGCCATCTCTGGTGTCCCACACTCTGATCGTATAATCCCAAGAACCTGGTTGGAGCGCATGGGAATACAAAAATATTTGAACTTCTAGATGACTTATTGTTTGACTTTTTTTGTATAAATAATATACATATTTCAGGATATCTTGACGCATTTTCTTTTTGGACCTGTCTACATTTTGGATTTTCTTTTCACAAAAGTCGTTGTACATCGTCTTTCACAAACTATGATGTTTCGAGGACATTCATGACAGAAACTGTACACATGGATGCATAGGGCATGTATTTTTGGACCTTTATTTTTTAACTTAGAAATAATCGTTTTTCTTCTTCAGGAACTTCAGGAAAGAATTGAGTTCGAAAAACCGAGGTTTTACTGTACTTTGAGTTTGGTGGATCTTTAACGCCATCCAGTGGGATATGGAAGAAAATACCTGAGATGAGCAGATATGGCACCTCTGTGTTCCACATCAGGCCTCTCACTGGAGCTGTGTGACCACTCAAAACATTGATGCAGGCGTCCTGTGTGTAGTCCCATATACGAACGGTGCTGCGCACACAAACTCTCTTTTAAGTCACCACATTTGTTACTTACAGTACAGGACAAAATTATTAAAAATTATTAAAAATTAAGGCCGTCATGCACTTTAACTACAGGTGGAACAAACGTCCTATTAAAAACAGGAGCATTTTAATATGGAAACGAGGTAACTCGGCGAGTCTTAACGTCTCCTCTCTGTCTCCTCAGGACTATGATCCGAGGAGAGTACTCCATTATATCCCAGCTGAAAAGAGAGAGTAAGTTACTGAGTTACTACTAAATATTAAAAATTATAAAAAATTATTAACATTTATTAACATTTATTAAAATTATTAAAAATCATTAAAAATCATTAAAAATTATTAAAAAATATTAAAAAATATTTAAAAATATTAAAATTATTAAAATTATTTAAATTATTTAAAAAAATTAAAAAATATTTAAAAAGTATTAAAAAATATTAAAAATTATTAAAACATTAGTAAAACATTATTAAAAATTATTTAAAAATGATCAACTATTTAAAATTGTTTATTTAAGTGATTCCCAGCACAGAACACAGGCGGTCCATGTTTGTGTCGAAGCACTGACCCGTCATCTGATCCAGAGCACAGGATTCCCTCTCTGAGCGGAGACCAGCGCACGTGGAAAACCTTGGCCAAGTGTCCGGTGAAGACTTTCAAAGGCTGGTCAGAGCTGGTGGCCAGGTAGTAGACGCGGACATTTTTATCCTCGCAGCCTGTTGCTATCATGTCCCTGCGCAAAGAAGGAAGGAGCACGGGATAAAAAATGGGTTAATATCATACATAAAAATGATATTAAATATAAATATGCAATATATATGTATATATCAAGATAACTACCTAGATAAAACTGTAGTAAACCTTATCTGCAAAAATAAATGTATTGATAGAAAACAAAAATTGAATAGATTATTCTTTACAAATTAATTAACGAGATTTTGATGTTAATTTTGGCAGCCTTGTAGTAATGCAGGGTCTTTCCTTTTGTTTAATTTAACTTTATCTAAAATTATTGCTCATTTTTTTCAGGTACACAGACCTTGCGGGAAGTCCAGAAATGGTCAAAAGTAAGCTAAAAATGTCTAAAAATATTAAAAAGTGAGCTAAAAAAAGTCCTAAAATAAACAACGGCATGTAAAAATGTCAAAATTAGTAGGAGTGAAAAGAGATAAAGATAAAGAAAATTTAAATTCTACAAAGTGAGGTTATAAAGTCCAGAAAATTGGAAAAGAAACAGACTAAAAATGTGTACATAAAATAATAAAAAAATCAGCTTAAAATATCTGACAATTGGCAAAAGTAAGCTAAAAAGTCCAAAAAAAAAAAAAAGCCAATGCAAAAAAAAGTAAGCTAAAAAGTCCAAAAAAAAATAAAAAAGCCAATGCAAAAAAAAAGTGTGCTAAAGAAGTCTAATAATAGTAAGAAAAATATTTTTTAATGAGCAAAAAATATAATAACAGTCGTGGAAAGAAGATCGCAACCTGTGTCGTTGTTGTGGTTCTTACTTGTTGTTCTGACTCCAGTCACAGCCGAAAACAGCCGCAGGATGTTTGTACTTGTGAAGGATTTTTCCATCAATGGTGCGAATGATGCTGTTTATTTAAATGTAGACAGAAAAAGAAAGACGTGTGAGACTCACACAGAGAAGACAAAAAAAAAAAAAAAACAGACACAGACAACAAGAAACTCACCAGAATCCATCTCCGCTACATGTGGCAATCCTCTTAGAATCCTTGTGGCTCCAGGATATGCAGAATATTCCATTTTTACCGTGCTGTAGGGGGCAACAGAGAGTTTGTCAATGCTCTTATCACTGCAAATTCAGTTAAGGCTTAGAAGTTGAACAAATAATAAGATACATTAAAAATATATATATCTGTGCTCAGTGGTAAACATTAAAAGCAATAATATCGTATTGATGATAAAGTAAGCTAACAATTTGCCCAAAAATAGCTTACAGCTAGCTGAGCATAAAACCTCAAGTTCAACTCCAAAACTTAGCAGTTAGCACCGTTTATATACAAAGGTAAAATACTACATTATATTGGGTAAAAACACAATAAATCATATAGTAAGGAAAATACTGTAAAAATACTTCAAAGTCAACACGGAAACGTCTAAATGTTAGCAGTGAATAACTGAAAGTAGCAAAATTGGATTAAGGTCAGAAAAAAAAAACCAAAAAGCTACAAAGCAAATTTTTAGGATAAAACTCCAGCTAGCAAATAATCAAAATCTCCAAAGGCTGTTGAAGATCATCTTTAGAAATTAAGTTCACTCAAACGGCACCGTTTGTGTGCTCATGTGACAAATGCTACTTCTGTTCGTTTTACTCATCAGTTTTCAGATGGAAAGTGACAGTGACCTCGTTGAAGCGAGTGATTATCTTCCCTTTCCTCACATCCCAGATGAAGGCACCGTTACGAGACGTGGCCCCTGCTATGCAGTTCAGATCGCCTTCAAGAACAAAGAGAAGCAACGGATTATAGCGTGTGCACACCATAGCTTACAATTAGCTAAACGAAAACTTCAAGTTCAAATGCAAAACTTATAGCAGTTAGTTAATACAAAGGTAAAAGACTACATTAGATCGTGCCAAAAACACAACAAAGTATATAGTGAGGGAAATACCGGAAAAAATACCTCAAAGTCAACACTGCAAAAGTTAGCTTAGCCTCAGTTAGGCTAAAAGTTAGCAAATTCTGTTGCATGAACAGTGAACTGGAATCATCTTCTGATTTAACTCTGAAGGAGAAAAAAATAGGTTAAAGCGATGGGTTTCGCGATTATTTTCTGCCATTAGCCCCTATGGGACAGAACTCCCCCGCCAAAATAAAATACTATTGAGCCAAAATAAAATACTATTGAGCTCCTGGTAATATTTATTTAATTATCTGTACAAACCACTGTATGAGTTGTTGGCACCAGCATTCTGCATACAATACCCAGATTATCAATATAGATTAATAAAATGGATGGATTAATAAAAAGCTGCAATGCTGCCATCTAGTGACTTTCACTTTCACATACAGCCGTTTTTCCCCAAAACCATTTTTAGGGTACACATGGGGTTTTCATTATGGGAGGAAAACCCGATAACAATTCATACAGATATAACATAATTATGCTAATATCGGGCCGGCTATTGTCGGACATCACTCGATTTTTCCAGGACTCGTACACAATTTCTGACTGTAACTGATGTTACCTGGAGCCCATGACAGAGAGTAGACCACGCCTTCATTCCCAGGAGAAGTGTTGACAGCCGTCAGTGTGTTTGTGTCCCATATTTTTATTGTTCCATCAAAGCTGGCCGTGGCCAGCAGGTTAGGGTCATCTGGTTTGAACTTACAGTCAAAGATAGTTTCCACATGACCCTGGAGAGACAACGCAGAGCAAAAACATTTTTAAAATAGACACTCTCTCAGACTCGTCATCGTGCCAGCGCTGCTGAAAGAGCGTTACAGAAATACCAGATCTCGCAGGAAATCCCACTTTTTGGCACCCATGTCATAAAGTCCCACGCCGCCATCCATGAAGCAGCAAACTGCGTGACCAGGGGGCAGGGAGAATGAGCGGTTCTGGGAAGGAGTGGAGGAACGGCCTCGCTGGTGGAGCTGGTGTGCTGACTTTTACTGGGAGAGCAAGAACTTGGAACTGGAAGGGAGGAAGGGGAACGTAAAAAAGAAATTTAACTTCACGGAAGTGTGTCAAAATAAATGAGTGACCAGAAATACCTTTAAGGTAGCAGAGAGAGACTGTAAATATTGGCCCTGACAACACTGTGTTAAGAATGAAATTCAAGAAAGGCTTTGATGTCGGAGACTTTTAAAGCTACAAATCTGAATCACAAATCACTTCAAAACTGATCAGTGAACCCTAGTGGCTGAAATCAGAAGCAGCGTATTTTAGTTGAAGGTTCAAAACAGTTTCACCTTTCTTGGCCAGGGGTGAGTTGATGACATGTAAGGCATGAAATCCATTCTTTTTCAGTTTGAAGCTGTCCAATGGAGTGGAACGTGAGACGTTCCACACCCGCAGAACTCCCACCTGAGAATCTGACACACACAGACACAGAGATGTGACGAGCGTTTCAAATGTAGGCCTTTAGGGTTAATCCTTATCCTAACTCTAAAACACAATAAAGAATCCCAGCTTTCTTTTTTTTTTTTTTCCTGAAAAATGTCCCCACAAGCAAAGCTAAACCTAGACCTCAAACAGACACACACAGATAACACTTCAAAAGGTTCCTTCACCACCTTGTGATAAAAGACACCAGATGGTTCAAACACCCCAGGTGATGCACTTTTTTTTTCTTTTTTTTTTTTTTACCTCCAGTGATGAACATTCCTGGTGCTGATGGAACCCAGGCCAGACACTGAACTGAGGCAGCAGCTGAGGGGAAGCAGAAGGACGTGATGCAGGTCAACGCCTCACTGTCCACCAGCCGGATTCCATTGTGGAGGTTTGACACTGTCCGAGAGGAAACACTGAATCATCAAAAACACACTGGTTTTACTATTACTATACTATGATGAATATATATTGAGATATGGCAAGAGTGAACGGTGTAAATTCAGTCGTACTTGGTCAAATTTTGTGCCAAAATTGCCCAAAGTTTACGAAACGTAAATACCAGAAATCTAAAGAAAGCTAACGGTTAGCTGGACAAACAAAATATAGCATTCGTTGCTACATACAGTACATGCCATAAAAATTGCAAAAAGTGATATAGTGTAAAGCAGTACTTCTCAAATAGTGGGGCGGGCCCCCCGAGAGGGGACTTTCAGTATACTGTCGTTATTCATGCTTGAACGATAAACAAGCCTCCGGTCACTAGATGGCAGCAGCAGCGCATTTTATTAATCTACAGCAGAACCTCGGTTGTTGAATGCCTCCCTTTTCAAACGATTCGGTTTATGAACAAAATCATTTAAAAAAATTGCCCCAGTTGTCGTATCATAATTCGGTTGCCGAACAAGAGGCAATTTTACGCAAACAGCAAGTGACAGAGCAAGTGACTGAGCGCGTGGCGTCAGTCTTGCCTCAGTCAGTGCTCGGGACGTACAACCTAAGAACTGTTGGTCAAAAATCGACAAAGAATTGACAGATTAAAAGAAAAGAAATAACAAATAACAAACAACATGTAGTTGTGTTTTTTTTTTAAGTCAAACCAAGTAAATAGTCAGTGGACAGGAGATCCCACTCCAAGGCACTGACAGGATCTTCCTCGTCTGTTCCTTCCAACGACTCTGGGCGAAGCACGTGCTTCTGACTTCTACTGCCTGGAAGAACGGGGGGGACACGTTGGTCAGCAGGATAAAGGAGAATTTGGGATTTTAGAGTCTGTTTTTTTTAAATTACAGAATCAGCAAAGAGTCACCGATGGGTGAATGTTTACACAAAAAAGAAATTCCTCAATAGATTTCAACACAGATCGAATTAAAAGGCAACACAGTAAGACAACCCATGCTAAAATATACGGTCAAAATATATAGCTGCAAGTTAACAAAAGATACAAATTGTCTTCAACCTGCAGCCATATTTACCAAGTGAAAAACGTAGTTGACAATAATAACTAATTTTTAGCCCAGAAATACCCTAAAAACAGAACTGAAGCTTGTGCTTCAGGTCGGTTAGCTTGTAGGTTAGCAAGGTTAGCAAAAAAACTGAAGTCTGGAAAGGCTGAAAGTTAGCTCACAGAGAGTTCAGCTTTAGAGTTTTTGCTTTTATATAACTACAGTCAGATATGAACAGCTACAAAACCCTTTTAAATTAAATTTTCTCCAGCTTAATGAAAATGCATCTTTATGTCCTACCTGGTTGAAAAATGGACAAACTTCCGTCCGTATGTCCAAACACCAGTTTGCCTTTCTTAGAGGGGTGCCACCGGAAGAGGCAGATGTCTGACAGGAAGGAGTGGGCTTCTTTATGGACGGTGAGTCCAGGGTTAGAACCACCGTAGACCCAGATGTACAGCGGACCACGTTGGGACACAAAGGCCACACCATCAGCAGAGTTCCAGCACCAGCTGACTGATGTGGGCACACCTGGGAACAAAAGAGGACAAGCTGCAGACAACCAGTTTTTTTGGGGGTTTTTTTTGGTTATCATTTAACCATATATGGTCTTCCTGTAGTCTAATACTATGGAGGTTTCCTCTTTTATACATAAATACAACACCTACAGTAGTCCATACAAACTAACATTTACTGGAAAAAAGTGCAACAACCCATAAGTAAATGAGTTTTATTTTTAATTTAAAAACCATAGACCTTAAAATTGTAAACAAAAAATCGCAAAAAATCCATTCAAACTGCAGAAAGTGTATTTTTAGTTAGCGGATAACTTACTTTTTGAGATACACGTTGTTACAAAAGTTACAAAAAATTTGACGAAATACACGTGTGCTATTTACATTCAATAAAGTAGGTTCTACAACACACGATTATGTTTATCTATGAAATATGCAATCAACCATCGTAATACTTTTGTATTGGCCGTTCAGTTAATTATGTGCTATCGCTTTGCTACATTTTCGAAATTGTTGTTGTCATCAATTAGCTAAAAATCTTTTGCATAATTTTTTTCTCGTGTTTCGCTGTTCTTACGAAACACGAGATACCTCTCAGCTATTTCTTCTACCTCCACCCTAGTATAAGGGTTTTTGCAACAACATAGGTTGAATTCTCTTAGTTCAGACTGACCACACGAGGCAGCAGTAGACGAACAAACGTAGTAGTAAAGGTATTCAACCCCATCTGTTTACCTTTCGTGTTGTCCAGTCGGGCCACGGCTCTCTGTTCGGCCACGTTCCACACGATGAGCAGGTTGTCAGCGGAGGCCGACGCAAAGAGGTCAGGGTTGTTGGAGCACCAGCTAATGGCTGTGATCGTCTTCTTGTGCTCGGACATGATGGACCTCAGCTTGTATTCGTTGTACTGCTGGTCCAGCTATCGCCGGCAGGAGACGCAAGGAGGAGAAGAGAAAAAAAAAACAAGGTGAGGTGAAGTCAGTAGTGGATTATCAATAGCAGAAAGTAGCTAGAGATATGGGTAAAGCAAAAAAAAAAAAAAAAAGGAACCACGTGTATTTACATTAAAGCAAAATCTTCATATTAGGCTAATGCTACAATGTGTACGATAGCAAAAAGTCATGCGAGAAATGTTCAAAAGTCGGTCAACAAAGCCATAGCCATTTAGCTAGTTAGCCACAGATTTGACGAAATAATAGTTTAGAGAAGAGAAATACCAAAAGGCAGAAGAATTGTTTGACTATTTTTTAAATGACGTTTAAAATGACGTTTCGACAACTTAAGTGATTATATTAGTGTCAGTCAATTTAAAAACCTTTCTGCAATACCGGCAGGACGTTTAAAATGACGTTTCGACAACTTAGGTGATTATATTAGTCAATTTAAAAATCCTCTCTGCAATACCGGCAGAGCCCACAAGAGGGCTACATTGTACCCTTATATATGCAACAGGTTCACGTTAACGGAGAGGTTTCAAACACTTAATATGTTTTATGTAAGACAATATTTTCACTGATTGATTTTTAAGCATTTAAAAAATATATATACTGTACAATCAAGTAGAACTCTCCGTGACGCAGAAGGCCACGAGTTTGTCACAAATTGTTAACGAATGTGGTTATAAAGCCATACTATACACTGTTGAGTAGATGTATCTTTCTTTTACTTCATTAGCTAAGATAAGGTCCGGTCGTCTGACCCTTGACATGACAGGAAATGTGCTTGATAGATTTGTGATTGGGCCACAAGCTGACCATTTTTCAAAATAAAACATAGATTAAAAATAAAATGCAAATAAGAAGACTTACACTGATGGACACTATAAAAATACGGAAAGAATATGGAAAAATACGACTAATAAATAAAAATGCAAATAAGAAGACTTACACTGATTAACTTACACTATAAAAATACGGAAAAAAATATGGGAAAATACGACTACTAAATAGATATTGGTAAAATACGTGCAAATAAAAACGTGCAAAACATTTAATTAACAGAATTATTTTAAAGCAGGTTACACCGTAAAATTCATATTTTCTCTCTGATTCTAAACGACCCACAGCCCAGTACCAGTTCACGGCCTGTTGGTTGTGAAACACTTAATTGTATTTAGGAAAATGACCTCCCAGTGGCAGTAAAGATTGCTTTTGTCTCGCATAAACTATCACGTAATATCCATTTATAACGTGTAAAGACTTCGTCCATGAACACAGTGGCTTTACCTGGTAGATGTAGATGGCCAGTGTAGCACAATAGGCGAATCTGTCCCCACTGGCTGCACAAACATCTTTATTCCAGGGCTGACAGCCTGCGGCCAGCAGACCCACCTGCTTCACTTTGGCCATCCTCACCTGCAGACACACATCACATTGACTTTGCAGTAAAGTCAGTCATTTATTATATATTAAAAAAAAGAACAATATTTTATTATAAAACAGTAGTTAGGCAACGCATTTTTCAAAATATACAACCACATTCAATTATTAGCACCTTTTGAAACTGGGCTGCATACTGAGCTAAAGCGCAGATGTAGAAAGTATGTTTGCAAGCTAGCCACTCATTTCCATTTGTCAAGTACTGAAATGAGAAGTTACAAGACATCCACACAGATCTGGAGAAAACGGACAGATGAAGGCGACCTGTGACCTAGTGGCTAAAGGACCGCATTTGTGTTGTGTTTCGAACTAATAGCTTAAAAATAAATCCTGTTTCACAAATAAAGGCTAAATTCAGGCGGCATATTTAGTTCAGTGTGTGCATGCACTGTGTGTACAACGGCGAACGAAGCTGCGTATTCTTCTACATCCGCAGGTAAGAGAGGATAATTAAAGATTAAAGACAAGGGGTGGTGAGAGAGGATTTAATTAATCTGTGCCGTGATTGGCCAAACCACCAGGGAACTGATTGAACGTCTGAAGGGTTCTTGCGTTCACTTCCACCAAGCACACAGGCAATCTAAAGGACTGATGCTAAGAAACATTTATACCGTAGGAACATTAACTACAAACTGAAATCAGAATTCCATTTGTTAGGGTACTGTTCCTTCAAGAAGTCTCTCTGTCAACGGATTGTCAAGAATATTAATTAGGGTTTTCGCTGCTCCGTCGTGGGAGTTCTTGAAAGGTTTGTATACATTTAAACATGTTGCCCTTTGGCCACTGTAAAAACCCCAGAGAGCCATTATCTGACAGCAAGGTAATACAGCTGTGCACAGTTAGCACAGGATACACGCTCCACTTACAGCCATTCAACCGAAGCAATTTCACAAACAATGACAAAAAGGAGTTACACAGCTGTGTAACTGCGGCTCATTTGCATAACGCAGGTCTTATCGGGTTATGTCATGAAAACAGATTATGACCAGAAGACAGATGGACGGATATACCGGAGTATAAGCCGCTACCTTTTTTTCACACGCTCTGAACCCTGTGGCTTAAACGATACGGCGGCTAATTTACGGATTTTTAACGGAGTTCATACCGCTAGCGATTCAGTGACTTTACACTGGTAGCATATGTCTGTCTGTGAATGGCCATATGCGTATATGCGCACAAGAGAGAAAAACTGTAGCGAAGGTTGAGTGCAGTTGTCGCCCTGTCATGTTGAAGCGTGAGTTTGTTGTACAGGAGCTGTTAAAAAAAAGTTTCCCTATTTCTGTTTACCTCTGCTGCGGACAGGCATGAAGTGAAGGGAGTTAGCCCCGGAGCTAATGTTAGCTTCGGCCCTGGAGCAGATCACTAAGTCTCCCCTGTGCTTTCCAGCTACGGTCGGGGCGCCGATGCAGGAAAGAGCTAACGTGTAACCAGCCGTGTTCAAAAAAAGTCATTGTGACACAGCACACCGCTGCACGCAACCAAATGTGACCTTTGCTTTTAACCCATCACCAAAGTGAACAGCGGGCAGCTTTTAAGCTGCCCGGGGAGCAGTGTGTGGGGACGGTGCCATGCGCTTAGAGCACCACAGTGGTAACTTCCGGACCTAAGTCCGCTTCCTTAACCACTAAGCCACCACTGCCCACTACTTTGAATTTATTTAATTAACAGTGAAAAAAAATAATTATAATTTGTGTAAATATCCCATGTGACAACGTGGAAACCTGAGGCTTAAAGAGAAGAGCCTATATATGTAAAATAATTTTTTTCTTAAATTTAGTGGGTGCGGCTTATATTCAGGTACACTCAATAGTCCAGAAATTACGGTATGTTTTTGGCTAGCTTGCAATAAGATATTCATTTTAACTACTCAAAATAAACACGATGCTCTTGACCACACAGAAAATTTTGTGTCATTCAAGAAGCCATTCTACCCCTTGCTGCAGTGTCAAAGACAGCAACTGATGACTGAGTGTTGCATCTTCTGAGGGTGTTATACTCGTGTTATAATTCTCATATTGTTTAAAGCAGTTAGTGAACCAGACAAAAGGATAAAGGTGACGAAGCAGCAGCAGTGGGGGGAGGAAGATGAGAAGGAAGAGGAGGAGGAAGAGGAGGAGGAAGAGGAGGAATTTTCTCCTGTTGCTGTAGCAGCGCATGAGTCAGTGACAACAAGTGTGTGCTGCTGAACACGCGTCCTCCTCCCGTCTGGTTTAGTGATCCAGAGGTTAAATATTTAAAAACAAAAAAAGAAGAAGAAGAAGAAGCTGTGAAGGAAGAGATGGACAGTGACTACAGATGTGTTGTGTGTTGTGTAACTGGATCTGGATGTGATGTGAGGTTGTAGGGGAAGGAGAGACAACCGTCAGAGAACACTGCAGTGAGTCATGAAGAAACATGAATATATATATATATATATAAATGATGTCAACATCTTGAATGAGACATTGTGAGTGTGAATGTCATCCATACAAACGAAATGACTGAAATGGTAAATAATTGAATTTTTTAAAAAAAAACACAATTTGAATTATTAGCTTATAACATATGACGTAAAAAAAAACATAAAGAGCAAATCATTATACCCACGTATTTGCCATAAAAGCAAGTGATTTTTTTGGCAACATTTGAACTAACTTTAAGCAGTGGGCGCGAAGGTAAATAACAAAAGGTCAATACAGTTCAACCAAGAGCAAAGTAAAATTTAAATAAAAAATAGATAACTGAAATAAATACAGAAAAAAAACCGATAAAAAACGAGTTAACATGTTCAAAAATGAGTAAACATTTTCACCGAGGAATGTTTATAGATACATATATATGTAAACACACACATATATATACGTATATAACCATGAATCTTAACGTTATATTACAGCAAGAATATGGCGATAAGTCAATGTTTGAAATAAGAAAATAAGAATATTCAAAGGACAAGCCAGATCTCGTACATAAATTACCCTGTGAAAGTGTATTAGGTGTAACGCGGTTTGGTGTGAGGGGGCTGTCATTATTTCCAAAACAACCAAGGCTAGCAGTGGCATTAGTCTCCTTTCTTTATTTTCTATGCCTCAACAAGTAACACTGCCCTTATTTTCTTCAATCTGATTTTCCATACATTTATATACCAGCAACAACACTCCTGAAACCAGCAACACTTTTGGCTGAGTTCCTTAGATTCACCCTCGCTTTGACACAGCCTTGTTGTCATTTACTGTTTACGCTGAAAAATGCCTTCTTCCCTGGCTAATGGGGTTTGGTGCGATTTGAATGTTTAGTCCTAAAAAAAAACAACAATTAAACATGTCATTTTAGTCTGATTTCGCATGATGGTGCTCATGTGCGTGTTGTGATTAGCCCAGAGGCTGATGATGGTGAAATCACAACCGCATCTTTTTCCTGTGTGCGTGCGTTAGAGGGAGAGACAGTGCTGGGCAAATACATCAGTCAGCTCTACTAGGTTACCCAACATACAACGCTACATAGATATTTTCAGTCTGTGTGTGTGTGTGTGTGTCTGCCATGGTCTTACCGTCAGGCGCTGACCGGTTCGAGGACAGTTCCAGGTGCTGAAATGAATCCTGTTCCCCGTCTTCCCAGTGGGGGGAGGTGTCGTGGAGGTGTACCTCCACATGGGCTGTGATTGGCCATAGGGAAAATATCCTGCCCTGTGATTGGCTAACCGCACTGTCACAGACATCGTCGTCCTCCGACTGAACGGCAGAAACCAGTGCGTTATCGCTTCAGTCAAGTGCATTCAGGGAGCCAGTAGTGACACCTTGTGTCGAGACTGTAAAGGACAGCATGTTTATAAGTCTGATTTGTTGTTTCAGTTCACACATCATGCATTTTTTTTTTAAAACCATCTAATAGTTTTTAGTTGCTGAAAATCAACATGGTTCTGATTTTGTTGCCTCATTTCACATTAAAGTGTCAAAATGTCAAAGATGGTTTTAAAACCTTAATATTGGAGGAGTTAAAATTAAGTTGAAACTTTTAACTCCTCCAATATTAAGGTTTTATAACCATCTTGACCTTTTAGGCAAGGATAGCTTGTACCCATTAACCTTCTACAGACCTTGCATAGAGAGTGGTAAAGAATGCATTCCATTTCACTTTGAGTGACATGATGACACAGCCAACACTCCTGTCAAACAGGTCTGCAAAGTAGTTAACCATTCATTAGAAAACATACATCATACAGTTTAAACGCTTCTCAAGTCTTGCAAAAACAACTGCTTTACAAATGTTGTCAATATACAAATTTTTATTACAAAACAGAAAAATCCATTCTACATGAAAGTTCCACATTTATAAAAAAATGGTTGCAGACTTATTTTTTTAAATCAACTACAGATAAATCCTGGTAGTAAAACAAGTGAATAAACAGCACCACTACACACAGGACAACAGCAGTGCTTCCAGAAAAGTAACTCTTAAAACCTTTGACTGAATGACTGACCACTGTCTGCAGAGGTTTCAGTCCAGTTGTTTTCACAGGAAGATCGTGCATCATTTCTCTTTGACAAGTGAACTGGTCCTAATAACAAACCGTTATGGGAAGTTGAGAATATTAATTCAAAAGACAGTATCGAACTAAATCCCTGAATTTTAAGAATTATGCGTCAGAGGACCACAGGGACAGCAGGCTATAAACTTTTGCAAACATACAAAACATTAAGCAGAACAACGCTTCACATCTTGAAAGAAATCACTTATTCATCATCGTCATCATCATCGTCGTCGTCATCTTCCTCTTCATCATCGTCGTCATCATCGTCATCATCAGCTGGTTCTGCCTTCTTGGGGGGCCGACCTGGGCCGCTCTTCTTACCTGCGTCGCTCTTTCCTGTACCGCTCTTGGCACGGTAAGCAGCAACTTCCTACAATAAATCAGAGGTGTTATTGCAGACAGAAAGCTGGATCCAAATACAGTTGAATATACTTCTAAACCAAGGTCCTATGTCAAATTTGTCTTATTCCCTCCACCCTAGTTATGTTTAATAACTAAAGCCGTGTTCTAACTAATAAAGCTCTATCAACAAAAGTAGGTAGAAAATAACCCAGCTATTTCTTGTTAGACATACGCCCAACATTGTGAATGCAATGTTTTGGTATACCTGTAAGCATTAATACAGCCTCAAGAATTGAAACCTTGCCATCTCTATTGTTAGCCAAGAACAAAGAGTTTAAAAAAAAAAAAAAAAACTTAATGATATTGCCCAAGGCCCTTTTCAAATCAATTGAAAGAAACTCACATGTGTCATTACTTCAAGACTGAAATTTCACGCAGTAAAAAGGATTACTACATTAACACCATTTGGTTTAACCATAAATGTATAACAAATCTTACTGCTGACATTTATGAGCTAAACAAGTGCATTAGTAGAATGTTTAAAGAATATGAAAATGCAGAGAGACAACAGGTCCGTTACCTTCTCATATTTCTCCTTCAGTTTGGCTGCCTTTGCCTCATATGGAGCCTTATCTTTGGAACTCTGAGTAGACCACAGCTCCCCAAGCTTCTTGGCAATCTCTCCAATGGAGATGCCTGGATGTTCTTCCTTGATTCTGGGACGATGATCAGAGCAGAAGACGAAGAAAGCAGAACTACAGAAAAAGAAAAATATAAGGGTTATTTAACAACAACAGTTCAATTTAGTGTATTACCTTAATCTTTAAACTTACGGTGGTCTCTTTGGGGCATTGGGGTCCTTCTTCTTCTTTCCCTTCTTGGCACCCTTTGGAGGCACATAGGTCTTCATCTCACGTTCATAGCGGACCTTGTCGTTCTTTGCCAACTCCTCAAACTTGCCCTTCTCTTTGCCTGACATGGTCTTTAAGAAAAACAACCTTAGTCTTAGAATTGAAACTGCACCATAAACTGCAAACAGCATTTCAAATAACTATTCTTACCTTCCATCTCTCTGAGCACTTCTTGGAAAACTCTGAGAAGTTTACAGAGGTGCCAGGGTGTTTCTTTTTGTGCTCCTCACGACAGGTTGCAACAAAGAATGCATAGGATGATGTTTTTCCTCTCGGTCTATTAGGGTCCTTTGTCATGACTGCGCCTGTTCTATGTTAATGTCACAAAAAATAAAATCATGACTTAGCAACAGCATAGGAGAAGAGTTCTATTTTGTTTACATTGTAAAAAAACATATCCAACACAGTAGATAAATGATAATTTCAACATCAAGAAAAATATTTACTAGTATAACATGTGCTCCTAAAGTGAAATTGTTTAGCTTTCCCAGTTCCCAAACGTCAACCTTGCATCATTACATAGATTAAGCTGGGAGCCCTTTTAAAGCTTGCGACCACATAGCCCCCTTTGACTCTCCAGTGGTGCCTGAAGCGGCGCTTGAAAAACACTGCCAAGAAACAAACCGGGATTGTAATTGAACCACACGTTAAACGTTCTATGGGAAATTAAAACCAGAGTGGATGAATAGAGTTTTTTTTATTATTACTATTAATAAATTTAATTTACTTTGTGTTGCTGTTCAGATGATTCTTAAAGAGTTAACCTTCAATCCCAGGGGGAGAACGAAATAGTTAAAGCTTTTATCTTTAATATCAGCTACTACCTCCGAACAAGCAGCACATTATCACAGAAGCGCGTGTGGAACAAACAGACGTCGTGCAGGTTATTTTAAGGCTCTAATCGGATTTCTGGCTCCCTGCGACAGAACAGGCGCGACTCCATTTTGTATCTTCCCGCCCAAACTCAACTGCGCCAAAAAGTTATCTAGTCAACAGTACAACAGGTTTAACCACAAAATACCCCCACTCTGTTAATATACTCACATAGAACTATCGATGAATAGTCACAACAGTTGTCGGTTATCCGAACAAACAGGAATGGCTGCGGTGAGCTGAGGCACGCGTTGACTACAACCAAATGGCGTTTGACGAAGAACAGTAATACGCTGCGCCACAGTAAACAGCGGTTACAAAACTTCTCTGCTTCCACTTCAAATATTATTTTAGGCCTCAAAAGCCGACCTTTTTAGCTAGAGTGAGTTTTAAAGAAGCTATAATCTCAGACTTAAACACTTTTGCACAACAATCACTTTGTAATAGTACGCGTCAAATTCTCTGTAGGGGCACTAAAAATAGCAAAAACCGTACCGTACATGTGAGAGCAGACAATAACAGCAGCAAAGACATGAAAGTATCGATAAGTTAAAAGGTGAAGAGAATCCTTTCTTACCTGCTGACTATAACACAAGTTCTATACGAGTGAAAACGGAAGGAAGGCGCGTCTGTTTTGTCGACGCCACAGCCCCGCACTAATTTCTGCAGAACTACTTCCAAAACTCCTCCGCGCCTTCCTGCGGATTGGTCCTCTAAGGGTATTTCAATTTGAAACGTTGGGCACGAGGGTACATGCGGTGCGGCGATTGGCCGCGGATAAAAGACGTCACAATATACGCAAACATGAGCGACGTGTGTGCCGATTGGTTGTAGCTGGGTTTTAAACGTTCGGCGCGAACTCCTTTGTTAAGAGTAATGTGAGACGAAGGAAACTGTGGGGCTCAGGATGGCCGTTTGAACCGTTTGAGACGTGAACTGAGCAGCCGTGTAAACAACCGTGCAATGATCCGTACTCTCCATACGTAGCACGACAGCGTAAACAAATTCATTGTTACTCTTTAACAGTTAAAAACAACAAATCTGATTAGCGCCACATATCCAAAAGTGAAAGGATTCAGATTAGTATGTTTATATATTAGTAAATACTTTTTTACGATGCATTTACTTTGTAACATTAGAATTGAAAGCACTGTATTATGTAGATAAAATACAGGGTTATTTAAAATCAACACATGCAGGTCAAACGAGTTTGCTGATTGACTAGAATCAAACGACCAGTTGAATAGTCAACATTTTTTTTCAAGTTTTGTGAAATTTTGTAGTATATATACCAAGTAAAAGTACATTTTCTACGAATGTGTCAGACTAGCCCTCAATATGAATATGATTGTCTTTGTTGTGTTATTATAGCATAACACATGTACATTTTGTTCTGTGATGTGTAAAAAACACAAGTTACACTGTAAAATTGTATATTGTTTCACACTATCACTCAATAAATAATGAATTATTATTGTTGTGGTTGTTTTATTAGTGGTATTAATGCAATAAAAACATTTATTGCATTTCTTTCTCAGGAAACCTACCATAAAGTTTGAATGTAAAATAGCTGATGTGGCACAAGGTTGTTCTGTTTGATAGTCACAGAGTTATTTTTTTTAAAGTCACTCATGCAAACATGATTGAAGGCAAATGCAAAAAGGGAACATTGAAACATGATTGAAGGCAAATGCAAAAAGAGAACATCATTCAAATGCCTTCTTTGGTTGGATTATCAAGCATCTTATTTACTGTTAACATGTATCTCATAACAGCAACAGCTATTTTGTAGATGTATGTCCTTTACACGTAATCCCATTTAAATTCTCTATTTTAAAGATTTGTAATTAAAATTGTTGCTTTTGAGTGGAGTTGTTGAACAACAACAAAAGAAGAGACAAAAGTAATGTGTGCATGTGAGTGATTAATTCGATTGGATGTTATTTTTCTGTTAGCCCTCAGTTAAGGAGTCATTTTAGTAGATATACATCCTTTTTTACCAAAGACATGGCTGCCATCTTTTAAGGGACATTTTGACGGTAAATGTTATCTTAATAAAATGGCGCTTCAGGACGGCGCTAATTGAAAATGTATTCAATTTCAGTAATATGTTTATTGTGTTTTTCTACAATAGATTATGCCGAAATTGGTATGTCTTCATACCAGTTGGGGGCAGCATTCCAAAAAAGTGTTTGCTTTGTGTATGCCTTTTAGCACCACAGAAGAAAAAGAACTGGCTGTAGTTTTAGTATCACAGTGGAATCGCACGGTTACGCTCATAGAGACGGGTGAGGGATTTACGCCATAGTAAAAACTCTGAGGAATCACTGTTTCTGTGGAGTAACGACTGTCCTCCGTCGCCCAACAGCAGCAGCAACCGCGGAAGTCGCAGTAATTCAGTATAGCACAGAGCAAGACCAAACAGTGGAGACACCATGGATACAAGCACGCTGTGTCTGTTTGACGTGGACGGGACACTGACAGCGGCCAGGCAGGTGAGACAGAGAGATGGGGGAGAGTTTGACCACCGTTTACCCCGAACTTCCATTCATTCTCTCGTTTTGCCGTGCGTGGCGTCACCAGCAGTCAACATCCGGTTCCACGTTGTTATTGTAGCTCTTCCCACTTCTTCCGGGTTTCTTAAAGATGCAGACTCTGCAGGCATTACATCTATCTCCAACACTCTTTTTTATATATAGGCATATTATATGAAGGCACTAATAGAAAATACCTAATGTATACATCATTAAAGCACCAACAGCGCTGTGCCAGATATTACTTTTTTTAAATAAAAGACTATGAAATAAAACGGATAATCTCTAAATGCATACGAAGTTCTCTAACTCACATTTTTATGTGCACTAACAACACCCTTTAGAACACAAATGGCTGTATTGGATCTTTGCACAGTCTTTGTCCAAACATGGACTTTGGTGCCTGACAATCATTCATACATGGTCTATAAAATATGTAGTTAGAAAAGAATCGACTAAGTTTATGCAAATGACACCAGAAAGACCGTACTCTGTCAGATTTGTGGAGGCCCTAACATAAGGCTTTACATGTATCATTTGTACAAAAATGATACAAACGTTTCTGCAGCCTTCAAACAAATCAACATTGATACGCTGTGGCTTTGCCTTAGAAGAGTGTTAATTTGCACAAATGACTCACTTGTATTGTTCTTGGGTTTGTTTGTTTGTTTTTTATCAGCGCGCTACCCCAGACATGATGCAGTTCTTGGAGGACCTGCGCACGCGTGTTCGGGTTGGAGTGGTTGGCGGATCTGACCTTAACAAGATCAAGGAGCAGCTAGGAGATGACTGTGAGATGCTAACGTCTTTGCTTCTGTATCAGTTTATTTGTCATGGGTTCTTTTGAGGATGACCTTATAAATAATAAAAGAAAATACATTTGTACTATATTGATCCCATATTTGGGAAATTGTTGTTAGCAGCAGATATGCTGTTAACAGGCGGTCCCTAGCAAGCACCAAGCATGTGGTTCCTCTGGGAATTGGACCCAGGACTCTCTGCTCATTCCTTCCAAGGCAGGCATGCTAACCGCTACACAATGGAACCGACCAATATATAATATTATATTTACAATGTCACCGTCAATTTTTTTTTGCTTGTATAGATATGGTTACATCCTTGGCTTACAACAGAATTTGGAACACTGGACATAAGTGTGCCACTGCTGTAATGTTTGAATGATAAGAAGCCTCCAGTCACTAGGTGGCAGCAACTCATACAGTGGTTTGTACCGATAGAAAATATACATGTTATCAGGTTCTCAATAGTATTTCAATTTGCAAGGGTGTGGGTCGGGGGCGGGGTCGGGATTTTTGTAGTCAGATTTCAAGGGTTAACACTGAGAGGTGTTTCTGTTCACTATATTTTGTGAACTTTCTTAATGTAATTCTCTAATGTTCTGTTTGTGTTTTTCAGTGATCCAAAAAGTGGATTATGTGTTTGCAGAGAATGGTCTGGTGGCCTACCGAAATGGACAGCTCGAGTCTATTCAGGTATCGATAATTTACCTTGGTACTGTTTATGTCGGCGCTTCTTTAAGCATAAGTGGCGCACGGTTGACATCACATCACGTGACAACTGGAAAAAAAGTATATTTTGTTTGTATGCTTTCTACAGTCCATACAGGCCCACATGGGAGAAGAACTACTACAAGAGTTTATTAACTTCTGTCTCAACTACATGGCCAAGATCAAACTGCCAAAGAAGAGGTACGACTATCATCATATTCTCAACATTAGCTCATGGACAAGTTTGATGGTCTACATTAAAATCATCAATGAATATTAGAGAGTTGAGTTCAGAACAAGCACTAACCAGTACTGCTATTCTTAAATGTACGATCTCTATTCTAGTTGTGTTGTTTCTGTGGCTTTACCATCAACAACATCAGAAATGTAATTGCAGTACCAAAAACATTAAGATCAGATATCATCCAAAGTAAAACGGTTGAATATACAAACAATACACCCTTGAAACTGTTTAAAATATCATGTATTTTAAAAAGTTTTTTTGGATTTTTCTTCTGTCCAGGGGAACTTTTATTGAATTTCGTAACGGCATGTTGAACATCTCCCCGATTGGGCGCAGCTGTACGCAGGAGGAGAGACAGGAGTTCAACGAGCTTGATCAGGTAACACAAAAAGACACACACACACGCATGCATTCTTTCACAGATAGATTGGTATCTATTATCTTACCAGAAATGTTTCCTGCAACGGCCAGGACATCAGAACGTTATATTTTTGGCCCACACGAAGTCCCTAAAACTAGGTTCCACCCATGTGTGCCTCAACTTGAAGTTGCAGCAGATGCAGTTGTAAAGTTGAACTACAAATTGTTTGAACTACAAATGTATTATTTTTTTCAAATGGAATTAAAAAAAACACCAAAAGGCATTGAAAAATAATGCCATTAATTGTTGCCCTTTCTGTAATTATGCAATTTTACTTTTCTATTTACAGAAAAAGAAAATCAGAGAGCAGTTTGTGTCAGTGTTAAGGGAAGAGTTCAAAGGAAAGGGACTCACATTTTCCATTGGTAAGCCTGCAGACAATCGCCACTGGAGTCGTACAGACACCCAGTCACGGTGATGGGAGAGGTTTGTCACGTTGTGTCTCCACAGGGGGGCAGATCAGCTTTGACGTGTTTCCTGACGGCTGGGATAAGAGGTACTGTCTGGGGATCGTTGAGAAGGACAACTACTCCACCATTCACTTCTTTGGAGACAAAACCAAACCTGTGAGTTTATGGTAATCACTGCTGAACAGCACAGTGAGACTTCAACTGTCTGTACTTACACTTCAATTCAACTGCAGGCTCTTGAAAGACACACACTTTAAATACCAGGCAGCCTTTAAGACTGTGTTTAGACCCGGTTTAAACAGAGAGAGTTTGGACTAAAGAGTTAGAGAAATGAAGTGGGATCTACTCTCACTCAAAAAAAAATTAGCACAAAATACTTTCAAACGCCAACAAACACAACTCCAAAAGCAACATTTATTTGTGTTGTCACCAGCATTCAGGGATTCACCGGGTTTCCTACTATCTATTTGTCTATATATCTATCATTGATTATTCCATGAAAAGAGACCCGTGTCCTTACGCCATCATCTGGCGTTCAATCTAAAAGTCCATAAAGTTCAACCGTAACCTTATCAGAATGGCCTACATCCAAATCTCAGCAACACAGCAACTCCATGTTTACTTAAAGCCCTTTTATACGTATACCTCACTGACTTCTCGCCTGTTCTTTCCTCTGTGTTTGCTGACAGGGAGGAAATGACTACGAGATCTACAGCGATCCACGGACTATTGGCCACGAAGTTTCGTGTCCGGAGGAAACAAAGCAACTCTGCAAGGAGTTGTTCTTCTCATGAGAAAGCCGTTTATTTACTTACGAGAGATGCAATTATTTATCAGTGTAATCGTGAACTGAGCCGAAGGGAAGAATCAATGATGTCTGGGAAGTAAAAAAAAAAATCAACGAATCACTGAAGGTTGTTTTATGCCACCACTGAGATGTCCATAGACAAAATCTGTGATTTTAAAAATCATTTTCTCTCACTTGTCTCTGAGTTATAAACTGACTAAACACGGCTGCTGTACATAAAAAGCTGCTTTGTCCTGACTGGCAAAAAAGAAGGGTTTTCTCTTTGGACATGTGGGAATAATTACACAATTTTCAAAGAAAAGAAAACATTGTAAAAAAAAAAAACAGGATAAAACCTAAAATAACCTTTATTATGTACAACTGTAGTATATAGCCAATAAATTAGTAAAGAATTCACAAGTTAACCAAACCATAAACTAGTCTTACTTTTTTACTCATGTTTTCTCAATTTCATCAACACGTCTGTGATTTACGTGCTTACCAGCCAGCAGACGCCCCCTGGTGGTTGGTCTTTTAGAATACCACTTTAAAACGTATATGACCATTTAATATATACTACATATATATACTGTGTATATATATATATATATACACACACATATATATTCTATAGGCAAAATCTAGAAACTCAGAGCCAGAGCTGTCATGCAAAATCAGTTGAATTTGTCTTTTCCTTTGTTTTGTTTAATTGACAACAAATCAATGGTTTTTCTTCACTACATTTTACTTTTTAACCAATAAAGATTTTCAATTATGTCATTTATGTGATGCTTTGTGTTGTTATTTTGTAAATGTTTGGGGTTTTTTCTGTAACTAAAACTCCAAAAAAATACACCACGTAACACTCATTTTCTAAAGGACCCATTGTTCACCAACAAGCACACAAAAATATTTTTAAGAAAAATGAATTTAAATTTTGCTCTGCCACTATTCATGTACAAAGAAACAAAAAACAAAAACACGATTAGCACAGTATTTACACAGGTTTTACAAGTCAACACTTATTCTACGCTTAAAACGTTTTTTTGCGCCTATTTGTTCAGTCAGGCTATTTACCTTAAACACGCTAACAGGAAAACCACTCCTTTTTTTTTACTACTGAGCTAAGAGATTTTAGGTAATTCCCTCAGATTGAGGGAATTACCTAAACCCATTGATCCAGCAGATCCCTCTGCTGGATCAATGGGTTACTACAACACTCCAGCATTTAATTCAATTTAATTTAATTTAATTGTGTTTGAGCAAATGTTTCATATTCAGACTCTAGATTCCCAACAATTATTTTATTGATAGAACATTTACATCCAGAAAGACACCCTTCCTTTTCTCTCTCTCTCTCTCATTCACACACACACACACACACACACTAAAGGGAACAATAAATTGTATATGTTATAAAGGACAGAAAAGCCACATTTTCGCCACGTGATCTAATACCAGGAACCAATTACAGCACAGCAGCAACAGAGCATCAGGAAAACAGTAATGTGTGGCAGCTCAACATTTTGTAGAAGACTCAGGAACAAGACGACTTGACTAATGAAACTTTGTTGTCATTACCACCACCTAAAACCATGTATCTAAATAACCCTCACATAACTCACCATAGGTGGCAGCCATCTTGAAATTGCTCCTTAGTCCTACAGGTTCCTGGTACTTTGTGGTAAAAATGAGGCCTTGGTCCACAGAGTCGGTGCTGTTGTCACACATGAAACTTAAATAACATTATGGAGTTCAGTGGATCAGAGGGATAAAGTCAGCTTAAGGATGAATACAGTGTTATTACATCAGCTCATCATGTGAGGTCATACAGTGCAGTGACAATCAAAAACCATTTTAAAAAGCTTAAAAATGATATTTTATAAATAATAAATTGCACAATGAAAAACAAACAAATAAATTAAATCCCCAGCCCTTGTTCTGAACATCATTTTGTTCTGGTTATTTCCCTGTGTCCTATTATTTCCACCTTAGACTTAAGGTGGACTTCATCTTCTGGTGCCAACTAAAGCTCCAGTTTTAATATAACACACTAGTCCAGGCATGGACAAACTACGGTCCGGGGGCCGGATGTGGCCTGTTCAGCTTTTCAATCCGGCCTGCCAAACTTTTCCAAATTATAGAATTGATTTATATTATCATTATACTTGTGGCTGCTCCCTGCAATACCCACGTTCCCCTAATGGATGGCGCTAAAATGGTAAAAGCATAACTTTTACATGTCATTTATCTAAGTTACGGGACAATTGTGGCCCGTGAGTCAAAAAGTTTGCCCACGCCTGCACTAGTCGCTTAGTTATGGCAGTTTTTTTAGGTAGTTTCAAGATCAGTTATTACAATTCATACCTCATTTTTCCTCCAAACTGGAGTATAATTCCAAAAATCCAACATAATGTCCTGTTCATGGAAAAATGTCCTAATCATCTGTAAGACATAATTAGGTCAGTAAATTGACTTAAGAGTGTTTTCCGACATGAAAGAAGCTGAAATTTTATCTGATAGACGGCCATTCAAATAGAAAGACATACAAATACAAAGAATACCAGTAAAGTGGAGGCTCACTGCAACTCTGCTCCGTCTTTTTAGGCCCTACAAACAGTGCCCTCACGGTTATACTCAGAAGGCAGGACAGTCTTCAGTGGAACGCCACAGTGAGGTTGGAAATAAGGGGTGTTCCGTGTTTTATCTCATGTGCCACAGACCTTAAAACTGTTTAAATTTGAATCGAAAGGAAGATTGTTCTCTTCTTAAATACAGCAAACAAACATTTTCTTTAGCACCTGTTTTTTTTTTTTTCAAAGTTTTAAATTAAATGTTACATTGTCTAACTTTTGTATTCGAGACTGAAAGAAGAGACTTTTTTTTGTCTTATTTGTCCCAAATATATAACTGCTAATATGGACTCCAATAATCCCAGTCGGGTTTTTTACCGTATTACAATAGAGCCGCCAAATATTGTCCACCCGTACAAATCACATGAAGACTCACTAAAACGTCGGAAAAACTTTGATTTTCCAACTATACTAAATGTTTTTACACCACTTGATTTTCTGGAGACAACGTTGTCAACATTTGTCAATCAACTGTTGGACGTAGATTTTTTTTTTTTTTTTTGTCAATTCTGTATTAAAAATTACCAAAAAAAAAAACAGCAATAAATTTAGCAAATGGTGCAGCACTTAGCTCTCATGTCACACAGTTTGTTTCTACGGACTAGCGCACACATGAACAGGTGTAGATTTATCATCTTTTTTCTTTCTATCCACATTGAACTACATTTTTTTTTTGCTAATGGTGGACAACAATGTCTCTGGCTGGCTCTCGGCCCAGATGTACAGCAGGGTCAGTGCAAACTACAAACCAAACATAAAAACATCAGCATTTGTTCTACCTGTCATAACCTACAGTGAATACACTATAGAGCTTGAATGTCAGAGTTAAGTTTAATGCGATCTGGTTTTAAGACTAACGTGATGAAATAATGTAGTATTACTTTAAGTAGAGATCAACCATCAGTGCCCCCTGCAGGAGGCTCCGTTATGAACCCTAGGTATTTAACCAAAGATTCCTGGAATACACTGAGATGTTTCTATATTTCCCAGAAGCAGATAATACATAGAATGTGTGGTAAATAATTGTCTTGATGAAAAAGTCTTCATCGGGTTCTGGTTCTTCAGTCTGACTTTTGTCTATTTCAGTGAAATCAGTGCAAAACAAAAATCACAGTAACGAGGGGGGGAGGGGGGAAATTGTCTTTGACAAAAATAAAGACACCTTGAGGAAATGTCTAACCAGCACTCCCTTTAAACCAAGTAGGAATGAGACTAAGTACACAAGTATTTGTTTTTCTATAGGAAACAGAAGTAAATGTCCACCTGCTGCTCAGGCTACATCCACAATAACATGCTTTGTTTGTTTGTTTATTTTAGCAAAAAACTGCCCACGCTAATCTTTAAGATCTACGAGAAGCTTAAAAAGGTGGGACTCAATCCTTCTAAACTTGAAGGAAAACAACTAACTAAAAAAGCGTCAATATTCCCAGAGAATATCAATATGGACCATAATATCGGAGGAAACTGTATATTATATTTTACGCTCCATAATTTATGGCAGTGATTCCCAAACGTTGTGCTGTGGCACACTAATGTGCCAGGAGAGATTATCAGATGAGCTGTAGACCATTATCCAAATTTGCCTAAATTGATCTGAAAACTAATATTTAATTAGTGCAAATAATTTATATTAAATTCAATGCGCCAGACAGAACAATTAAATATTCTTCCACTGGATGGCTATAAAACTAAAAAAAAAAAAAAAAAAAAAAGGACAAGAGGCTCAGACCTGTTAAAAAGGATCTTCCAGTGTGTCTTTCTTCAATTCCTGCAAGTATATCAGTGCAGTGTTCAACTAAACTGGTCAGGGTTTAATACTGAGCAAGTCAATTCTGAGTAAATTGAACTGGTAATTGTCGATGCAGTGGTAGCACTCCAGCTTTAAGCGTTCAATAACACGTAGCACTCCAGCTTTAAGCGTTCAATACTTTGGTAGTCCCCAAATCCCAGGTTGGGTTGTGTCAGGATGGGCATACTTTGTAAAAACTCTGACTCTCATTGTAAAGTCCTTTAGTGTTTTAAAAGCACTATACAAAATAAAATGTACGTTCAATAATTTGTATTTTGTTCATATTAATTAAATACCGAAAGTACTGTGGTGAGAAGGACAAAACTTAAGTCTGTGATTCTAACAAAAATGTACTAATGTGGATGTAGCCTCACAGCCCTCTATGGTCTCTGTCTGTGCTAACCTGACAGTTGCAGCTGAGCAGACTCCCTCAGTCCATGTCCTGGTCCTTGCAGTAGTCTCCACCACTGGACGAACGGCTGCTGAGGTCAGCCACTCCTGACTCCAGGTCGCTGCAGGTGGACAGGTCATCTGGTTCTTGTTTGTGCGGCTCTATGGGCAGGGCGAAAGCTTTGTTCTGTCGCTGAGGCTTCTGATTGGTCGGCTCAGAGAAGACTGAGCGACTGCCACCCTGTCTGGGGCTGGTGTTCTGGTCTGCATAAGTGGAAGGTGGATCTGGCCCACAGTGTCTCTGCTGCAGGCAGCTCTTCCTCACCCTCCTGGGAACTTCAGTCTTCTCCCACGTGATTGGCTTCCCGGTAAGAGCTGCTATCCTCTGTAAAGGAGAGAACGATGATTGTATTTCTCAACTCCTTCTTCAGCTAATTAACAACTATAACATCATTGCCGCTTAAATTTGTGAATGAATATCCAAACGTTTTTCCACGAGGATCAATCGGCTTGAAAAAGGTTCTTCAAACTATAGTACACTATAACACTATTCTGCATTAAACACTGTGTTTTTGGGCAAGTATTATATATATATTTATATATATATTTATATTATATATATTTATATATGGTGGAAAGAAGTGTTAAATTAATAATGTCTTTCAGTATTTATAACTGATTTATTCCAATTTTACGATGTTGGCAGGTTGTACGAGGTTGCGAAATTGTGCAGAACAGGGCGTGTCTCTGTGTGCTGTATGCCTTGTCTGGAGCCCGGATGTTGTTGTTGGTGGTGTCGGTGGTGGACGGTTCCTCCTGGCGGTACCTCCTGGTGATTGGTCAGCTCCTCCTCCAGCTGCTGGGACTCCTCTCTCACGGCAGTCAGGTAGTCGGCAGGCGACTGGTGTGGAGTCACGGACTTGTCCGCTTTGTTGTAGAGACCTTTCCACATTCTGACAGAGAAGAGAAGAAAACGAAATGTAGGTCCACATCAGGGGTCATCAACGTGGTGCCCCGGGGGTCACCGTAGACTACCTAAGGTACCCGCGGGATATGTTCTTAAAATTAAACTAGTCAACAAGAGGGTGGAAAAATTGTACTGTTACTGTGCTTTTGGAATCAGTTACACTGATGCAATGACGATGGTAAGAAGAGAGTCTGCTATTGTATGTCGAAGAACTTAATATTACTACGTTGTTTGGGAAGTCTGTGTCAAACTAGTAGCTCTTTGAATTACTAAGTGCCCTTGAAGTAGCTCTCAGTTTCAAAAAGGTTGGAGACCCCTGGTCTGCAGGAAGCTTTTTGACTCATCCTAGACTTGAGTACAGACCCAAAATTAAATCCCTCAACTTCTCAACTTCTTCTGTGTCTCAAACTCTGACTCGACCTTGATTAAATTCTCGTTCCTGCCTACGTTTCTGCTTCTTCTGTGTCTCAAACTCTGACTCGAACTTGATTAAATTCTCATTCCTGCCTACGCAAAAAAATCCAGAAACTGTCGTAGGTACGGAAAAAATTCTGATGTGTCAAAGTGTGTCCTACGCAGTGTGTTAGCCTTTAAAAATACGCAGCCTGCGTCTCTATATCTAATTCTGCTGCCTGAATCATTTTAACCTTTCCTTTTCCTGCTGTGAAGTCTCAGGAGGTCTGTTGTACAAAGGAGGATCTACAAACAAGAACAGTCCGTGCGCACCTCCTACAATCAAACACCTTCTAACAAACAAGGTAAGGTAAGAAGACAATTACAGCACAAGCAGTCAAGTTGCAATGCTGCAGCGACTTACTTGAAGCAATAGGGGGTGGTGTTGGGTCGTAGGATGCCCTGACTCTGGGTCAACTCTGCTTTGTAAAGCGGGTTGGTGTATTGGCTTCTGTCCTTCCATAGCTGAGGCCACAAAGAGTGAGTCCGCTCACGGAGCCTGAACACACACACACACACACACACACACACACACACACACACAGTTACACGCCCGCCTGCTCCCATAAACCACCTTTATTTCGATGTTTAATATTGCCCATTGCCCAGCCAACCTCAGGTCTCTGCGCTCTTTCTCACAGTTGCCCACAAAGCTGCCGTGCTGACAGGAGTAGACATGTGTGTGAATGGTGACGAGGAAGCGCTCGTTAAACTCAAAGGCACATGGGAACTGTTCTGACAGCTGCCACACACAGTCCAGGAACTGATCAATGACCGGAGACACTTCTTTGGGATCTCCATCCAGGTGGGCATACCTGCCGGGAGAGAGTGCTGTTACGTCATTTCTATGCCAGTTTATGTCTTGTATAACAGGAATTGATTTTGGTGTCTGGTCTTGCTGTAAGAAAGGCTGTTAAACTCAGGTTGGTAGCATTGATTTTGAAGCTGCCAAACCAACACTGCCCCCCCCCCGTCAGAAAGTTCTAATGCATTATCCAAATAACGTTGTACCTCTTTTGGGTACCTCCATCCATCAATCTTCTTTAAACTGGTGACCGACAGAAACGTCATAAAATACAGGCTGACATAGTTACTAACCTATGGGAGAACTTGTGTCCAAAGGAAACCCAGTCTCTCTCTATGAGCACCTGAAAGACAGAAAGGACGCTGAGAATAAACACCAGATCTGTTTTGACAGTCATAAAATACGAGACAGAACAGTGGGCACGAACAGCTGTACTTAAAACTTCTCTCTTTTGGGGAAGAGCACATTGTCATTAGTTAACGCTACAATAGGCCTAAGCTGCTGGGGGGAACTCTCGCATATTGTTCTGAGTTCTGTCACTGTCTCTTTTTACCTCTCTCCTCACTTTTGTTTTTGATATGACAATGTCATTGTGATATTATGTATTATCAAGGCCCAAGTAAGGATGGAAAATCACAAATAATATTTCTTCCTACTTTTGACAGTATGAGAGTTACCATGAGTCCTTTGATGGTTCTGTAATAGGGGTCTAACAGAACACTGGCCACAGAACAGGCCTGAGCTGTCCTGTCCCAGCCATCAGAGCAGTGGACCAGAACGCTGACACCCTCGTCTGCCACCGCCTGTGAAGACAGAGAGAGAGAGTCTTGTTATAATCTTGTTATACATTTAGCAAGTAGACACAGTATTATTTTTTGCTAAGCATGGTTAAAAGACAATTCACGAGTATTTTCTGAAGTTTATACTATATTTTATTTCAATGACATAGGCATGTCACATGTGCAAGTGTGCATACCCTGGCAATAAAGACTCCCGCATCCACTATAGCTTTGATGTGTTTCAGCCAACCAGAGTTCTCTAGACCCCACAGGAAGTCAGTCATGGATGGAGATCGCATTTCACCCACTGCAGTGAATGAGTAGAAATAAATAAATAAAATAAACACACACACAGATTCTGGACTACTATTTTTGTAAGGACTCGGTTTTTAATAATGCTCATCATTAGGGATGTGACGATGCGTCGTGAACCGATTAAAAAAATCAGTCGAAATGCTGAAACGACGATTGATTGATCATCATTGGGAATTGATTTAAAAAATAATAATTGCAATGCATCGTAAGGAGTGTGTCGCTTTATCGGAAAGTTACTAAGACTACACACTGTTACAATATGCTTGTGAGCGACCTGCTTATTAAACCAGTGGTTCTCAACTATTTTCTGTCTTCCCCCTCCTTGCGGACAGAAATGTTTTCACGCAAACCCCTCCCCCTGCTGTTCTATTAAGCCCAGAAGTTCGATGTAATGATGTAATGATAAAAAAATATTTTTTAAATCACCTGTTCTTTGCGTTGCAGGATCTCGTACTTTACATATAACCACTGGTACAACTAATGAATAAAACGGTGTCTCTCATTGTGCCCTTAAATTGTGCCCTAAATTTCTTTTTGTGTTTTTCTTGTTTAACACATTGACAGTTAGTGAGATTTTTTTTTTTACATTTAGAGGAGATAAATGGTGCTATGCAGTGTTTCTGTAAAGAAATGTGCATTTATGTATTCTGTTATTTAGGATGACTATTTTAATTTTATGACGTACACAAGACCATTTGAGTTGGTAATGATAATTTGCATAATTCTTACAAATAAATGAGCATTATATTTAGGCATAATTTGTTTGGCGCTCATTTTAAATTGTTTTTATCCAAATAATATCATTAACAAAGAATTCATCATAAGTTGAGTATATTATTACACCCCACTCACTATTCTATTTCTTATAGTTAACCTTTACCATAACCTAACTTTTATCTGTGTATTCAAACAAGACGTTGTGCCTCAATGGAGGTTAGAGTTTTACTGTAGGATACAAATTAATTAGAGCTTTTTTTTTTTTGATAAAACCAGTTAAAACCTGAACAATTTTATCAAGCATAGAGATTTTAGGCTCACCATCAATGATCTTCTGTTGGCTGCTCCTCATCACATGGATGTTCTCTATGCCGATGAACTGCAGCTTGATGTTGGTGTAATGATCTTCATTCTCATAGCCTTTACCTGCTGCTCGATTGGCCATGGCATTTAGCTGCTCACACACAACAGGCGAACACATACCGTTGACTCGTTTTTTTGCTTGTTGCTCAATTATACCTGTTCTCAGAGATGCATCGAATAAGAATTATTGACGAATAGGTTTGCGTGTCACCTTGGGTCTAGTGTCCACCACGTAGATATAGTCACTGCCAGGGTTGGACTTCATCACGGCCTGGAGCATCATTTCATCCTCGTGACAGCGTGCACTGAAGCCTGACAACGGCTGACTGCAACGACACACTGCCGCCTAGAAGCCACCCACAAACCCAGGATGACCAAAATCAATGATCACGAAAGCAAACTGTGGAGTTCATCAAGGCTCTATGCTGGGGCCCATTTCATTTATTTTAAACATAAGTTTTTATTAAAATTGCAACAATAATTTGCAACGTTAATGACATAAGCTAAACAAAGCAAGTTTTAGTTCCACTGACCAGTGTATCCTGATGAAAGTAGGACAGAGCAGGAAATCGTCCTCGACTCCTGAACTTCGAGCTGCCAACAATGATGGCAGGAGTGGCTGACTTGGGAACAAATAGCTCAGCTGGATATGTGTCACAGACCTTTGTATGAAACCAAACAAAAAAACATTTGCAGATTTATAAAACTACCAGTTTACAGAAAAAAAGAACATAAATAAACATAAATTTTGCTAAATGAGCAGTACCGTAATTTCCGGACTATATGCTGCTACTTTTTTCCACACGCTTTGAAACCTGTGGCTTAAACAATGATGCGGCTAATTTACGGGAGTTAGCCCCGGAGCTAATGTTAGCTTCGGCCCTGAAGCAGATCACTAAGTCTCCCCTGTGCATTCCAACTACGGTCGGGGACGCCGAAGCGGGAAAGAGCTAACGTGTAACCAGCCGTGTTACATGCACAGTTCGGAAAAAAGCATTTATTTAATTAGTTAAAAAATATATTTCTGTGTAAATATCCCATGTTACAACTTGGACACCTGCTGCTTATAGAGAAGTGCAGCCATTATATGTACAATTATTTTTTTCTTTTTAAATTTAAAAAGTGCGGCTTTTATTCAGGTGCGCTCAATAGTGGGTTTTTTTTAGAAATGATGTTACTCAGTTCTTGGGTATATAAAGTTTTGATGAATGTGCGTCCAGTAATGAAATGTAATTGGCACTGCTAATATAAGTTTCTAATGATTAGACTCACCCTGTATTCACTGTTGGCTGCTGTGCCCACCCACAGGTTGTTGGGAACTCCCATTCTTTTGTAGTCAGCCATAACGTCAATAAAATTCCATGACTCCTGTCTTTCCTCTTTGTTCACATTGGGATTAAAGGACAAGCAGTAAAGCTCACTGTATTTCTCTGAAGAGAGAAAAAATGTAAGAAGAGATAAAGGTAAGCCTAGAGATAAGCAGAGTCACAAATCACAATAATCAAAACATTAGCTGAATAATACAATATTGACACCGGAGAGTTAAAAAAAAAGTTACATAGTTTTGAAAAATGGATAAACACTGAACACACTATGGCAAGTTAGTTCCTTAAAATCAATTTAAAGCTAGGCTAACCTGATACCATGAAATGATACACACACAAAAAAAACAGAAATCAATGAATTGTAAATGTCAGCCATGAATGAATTATTTCGGTATTACAACCAAAGATACATGTACATCTTAGTTCACAAATCACAGCAAGGCACAGCTAGTGGTGATCCCACCATAAATGAAACTAGACTGTGGTTTGACAAAGTTACGATACACACCAGGCCGTGACAACCTGACCAATGAGGCGTGAACGTCCAAACAGTCCCTTTCCTGTGGGATAAGGATCTGGATAATTCTGAAGTCCTTACAGCGCAGGATCAGCTGACTTCCCGTGGGTGTGGTAGGTGGCCTGTCCACACTGCTCACCATGGTGTGTAACACCTGAAGGCATACAACACATAATTTCATATTTAATGATTTACACTGAAATGTCTTTGTAGGACAATGTTAAATGTCACTTCAGTCTTTGTAGGACAATGTTAAATGTCACTATGTCTTCATGACCAACAGCCTTTGAGGAAGTTAGCAATTTTGCACCCATGGGAACATGAGTTTGATCACACTAAACCATAACCACATTTTGTGCAACCAATCTTGTGATCTTTAATAATTAGGAAGAAGCTCCCGGGCTTTCTGTCCACAGGAAGCACTACCCATATGCGTGTAAAGAAGAAATAGGAAGTGGCTGTTTCTACCAAAGCTAATCGAAATATATCTTTTCTGTTCTTAACAGTTGGGTGCCCAGGATGCCTGGCACCAGTTGGATGTGCTGAATATCTGCTCAGGTCCACTGGGAAGCTGCAAAATCTTTATCTACCTCCACAGGGACAAAGGTGGTGTGAATACATGGATAGGGCAAAATATACATTTCTCATTAAAGTTCAGTGTTGCCTAATTTCCCCACAAATCCCAAACCAATTATTTTACCACCACCTTACTAGCTTCAAATAATCAGATAAAAAAAAAATTGAAGTCCCTTGTTTGTCCCACAATGGGGAAAAAAATTGAAGTCCCTTATTTGTCCCACAACGGGGAAAACCACAGTGTGAGTCTTTGGAACCCACACTTGCTGCCACGTGAAGAACTATTAAGGATGTGGTTCCTCACCATAAGGCTTTTTAATCCGGCCCGCCAAACCTTTCCATATTATATAATTTATTTATATTATCATTTTACTTCTGCCCTTTACCTACTTGCAATACCTACGTTTCCCCAATAGATGGCGTAGAAATTGATAAAAGCATTTTAGGCTTTACGCATTCATTTATTTTAGTTCACACGAACGCTCCATCTATCTGTTCCTGACCTGGTCATTCTGTTCAATTTTAGCACAATTGTGACCCGTGAGTCTAAAAGTTTGCCCAAAGCTGGGCTAATGTGTAAGCCAGGCATGATAACTGCTACACTATGGAACCACAATCTTATAACACGATTACAGTCACACACCATACCAGATAAGGAGGATGAACTATTTATAAATATATATATATCTTGGCACACACAAAAGTGTTTCTGCTTCTTACCCACGTCTCCTTGCGTGTCTCTGGGTTGTTCTCAACAAAGATGGTGTGTGTGGCAGAAAGGTAAAGGGTCCCAATGCCAGCTTTTCTCTGGCCTGATGAGCGGTCCAGGAGACGCACATTCTCCACCTAACAAAGACACAGAGTGAGACACTAATCTACGTACTAGACTGTAGGAAAAAGGAAGAAAAAAAAAAGTAAGGAAAAAAAGGGACTAGTCTTCCCTGCCATTATATCGATGAGAAATTCACTAGTTCCTTGATCCATCTCTCATTAAGAAAAAATATATTTAATTATCAAGCCACTTCTACAAAATATGTACTTTTGTTACTACAAAACTTAAGAATATTGTGTTTTTTTAAATACCTTTGTTTCCTATTTTTCCAGATTCACTTGCCAACAGCAAAGCAACATGACACCAACATGGTTGGGCCTAAAAAGGCGACAGCTACAGCGACAAACCCTCTATTGGATCACATGGTAACTCGTTTTTATGCTCTCAGATGTAGTTAAACCAATTATAATGTTCGAATATATCACTTATTTCTAGGTTTATAGACATAATATAAAGGTACAATATTTTCAAAGGTCATTCCTACCTTTTCAGAACCTTGTTATATAATGTCTTGAGACGCTTTCTGTTTTGCTGTTGTTTTTCAATATATAAAACACGTCCAAATGTACAAAAAAAATGGAGAAAATATGTAGAGAAGCGCGATGACAGGGGATATGATAAGGTGATGATATTGACAATAATTAATGATGGATATAATAATAATGGATATGGGACGTTTGGATGAAAACAGGACATTTTAATTTAAATGACAATATACGGTTAAAGCAGCAGAAGAGAAACAAAGAGATGAGCCTCGGTGATAAGGTGTGTATTGGTACCTTGGGAGTCCGGATGTGCTCCATCACTGACAACCAAAATGGAGGAGATGAAGAAAGAGGAGACCGGTGCTGGCTGAGTCCTTTAGCGGTTCCTCTTCACTGTAACTGACTGTCAAAGCAACTGTATTTCCCGTGCCTGCTGTTTCCTCTCAGGTTTGTGTTCATTTCCATTATCCCCTGCTCTGGTTTATTCGGTTTTTGTAGAAATGGACGGAAGGAAGCTGACTGTAGCAGACAGAAATCCCGCTGTCAGGATCCGTGTCTGTACAGCTGCAAGAACAACACAGCGCTCCTGTTGTTAAGCTAACACAAGTATAAGAGCAGCTCATTTCTGGTTGAGTCCTTCAAAGTAAAACCAAAATGCCTATATTTTGAAAAGAACGCGTATATATTTCCGGTTTTTAATCGATTAAATTTTGTTGTACTCTCCGACAGTAAATAAACTGGATATTTTAAAAATACATTTAAGTGAGTGAAGACAGATTACAAATTGGTTGAGAAGGCGACAGGTAAGCTTAGAAAAAGCTAAAACAACCGTGCCAGATTTTTGTATAAACTGGACCGTTATTTTTTGGCGAAAGCATAGTCAAATGTTAGCCCATTAAATTTGTGTTTATTTATTTGTTGTCCATGAAATAATGAAAATGGTACAATTTGACACAAACAGCACTCGCTGTGGTGTGTACTCCTGAACACAGGGGCGCTATGTGCCTTTATTTCTTGTTACTTCTGAGAAGGAAAAATAAAACACATTGCACTCAGGCGTTTGTTTTTATGGTGGGTACAATCACTTGGTGCTCTTAAGAATCTTATTCCCGATACAATCTCCCCACCAGGCTTGTGTTGCTCATTCCAGGGAAACTATTTCTTTTACCTGGAGCCGGTTGACGCACCCTGAGAGCCCGCTGTTACAGGGACCATGTCGGCAGCAGCGGTGGACTTCCACTCTCAAATCGCCTCCATCATGGAGGTGCTGGCCAACGCAGCTGTGGCTGAAATATGCAAAGTGGTCGACGACGGCTACACGGTGGTACAGTTGGAAGTGTCCCGGAGTCAGAAGGAGAACGAGATTCTGCGTAAAAAGATCAAATTGCTAGAGCTGCAAGTCTCCCGTTACAGAGCAGAGAGGCTGAAGGGAGCGGACGGCTCTGCTGGAAACGGCCGCTTCCCCGGGGTTCGCCTCAACCGCCGGTACAGGGGGTCGTCAGGTAAGATGGTTTCTACACTTGTGGGAAAAATATAATGAAAAAGAAATAATTTAAAAGTGACTGTTTTACTTTGTTTTCAGAAATATCAATTGTTGAGAAACACTACAATGAAATAGTGGTATATTTTTTATTCTGGAAAACTGGCACTTATGACATTTCTCTCTGCCAACTGGACTTGTTAATGTAAATGACAAAAAGGGAACTATGGTTAAGTAATGACTTCCACAGGAGTTTACTAAAGTAGCTGTTGAAGCATAGCAGCCTCTGAGAAGCAGAGCACTTGTCATTCACACACTTCTCCCAATCTGCCCAAAGGCCCCTCTGTGCAAGTCAGGACCAGGTTTCTGAATCAGTCCATCATCATGGACCAAGATCCCGATCAGGAGGTTGTTACCGCCACAAAATCTGAGGTAGCCATTCCACTTCCACACTTTAGTGCACTTTGCAATGCTGCTTTGACTGATCAAAAGAAGCCATTTTTTTAACATATTTCTTCTTTACAGCCAGTAGAGCTGCTGGTTGACAAGGTGGAGGGGGCAACGGAGGCCGAAGTCCCCAAGAGTGAGGTGCCACCAGTAGCGATCATCAGTCCAGAAGGACAAGGAAGCACCAACACCTCTGCTTTCACCACTTCACTTTCAGCTGCTTCTAAGGACAACAGTGCAGAAAGGACACTCTCTTTTAGTACAGTTTCTGCTAAATCTGACTCTCACAATAGTGATATATCAAACATTTTAGGCGTTAGTTCCACCTCCAGGACTATGAGCTCTACCATAGCTTCACAGCCTTCATCATCATCAGTGTTATCTGGCATTGAGGCAACCGTAGCAGCCCAGCAGCGAGCACATTTCCGAGTTCAAAAAAGTCAGGAAGCCAGCATAATGCACAGCGAGGGTCGGAGAAGGAGCTTCATTTGCCGAATATGTGGCAAAGCCTTCACTGGTCAGTCTAACCTAGAGGCCCATGAAAGGGTCCACACGGGGGAGAAGCCTTATCGCTGTGACACTTGTGGCAAACACTTTTCTGAGGCTGGGAATCTAAAGAAGCACCAGAGGATCCACAGGGGAGAGAAGCCTTTCCGCTGCTCCACATGTGGGAAGATGTTTTCAGAGGCCGGGAATCTGAAGAAGCACCACCATGTTCACACCGGGGAGCAACCGTACAGTTGTGGGTTGTGTTATAAAAGATTCACCTGGATAAGAAACCTCAAAACACATCAGCAAAAGAATCATCCTGAGTTTCAGGGCATAGACGTCACAGAGGAACTGAAACAAACTGTCAATTTTTATGACTGAACGGTCAACTAAGACTTTGCCCTAAGTAACATGAACATATCATTTTAAGACTGATTTCGATGTGTTTTGTTATATTTATAAGCATGCTCATTACTACACTGATGATAATGTAAGGATGCAGCTGTCTTATCCTAAGAAAAAAAAAATCAACAAGAGTTACAACTAAGTTCAGGAAGTTGTGACTCAGGTCCTCAACTGCTTAATGATTCACTTTGCAAAATCTTGACAGCTCATCTCAATAGCTATAGACTTGCAAACTATAGACTTGCAAACACAGCAAAATAAAACCTACACCAGAGTTTGTCTGAATATGTGTTTCTCACAATTTGGTCATTCAATTTTAGGTCCTTTGGCTCCAGCAGCAATACTTCACAAAAGAAAACACAGGAATAACAAAAGGATAAAAGTAGAGCAATACAAACAAGAAAAGAGAAGCAGCACATCGTACGAAAGTAGAAAAAGAAACCCATAACAAACACAAACAAGAAAAGAGAAGCAGCACATCATACAAAAGTAGAAAAAGAAACCCATAAAAGTCAATAGATTGTAGTAGAAGGTTTTTGTTGTCATATTTAATGTTAAAATAAAAAAATGTTTAATTATTAACCTTAAATTCTTCATATTAGTATACCACCCTATCGTTATAGCATGCATATATATAATAAAGGTATGTATAAATATATAAGCAGTTTAGATATATGAAAAGTTTAAATAGTTTAAATATTTCAATACAGCAACATATACACAAAATAACAGGCATATGCAATGATGGTTAAGAATCATACAAAATTTGCTAAAAGAGCCCAGAAATATAGATAAACATAAATGGTTTGAATTAGTCATTCAATATTTTAAAGATACAGTTAAGTGAACAAAGGCAGCTAAAAATTAGCAAAGATAGCGAAAAGTAAGCCTATAAAAAGTTGAAACATTAAACAGCCTTGCCAGATTTCTTTGTACAAATTGGACAGCTTATTTTTGGAGAAAGCATAGTCAAATGTTAGCCCATGAATTCTTTGTTTTTGTGTTTAAGTACAATTTGACACAAACAGCACTCGCTGTAATGTGTACTCCTGAACACAGGGGGCACTGTGTGCTTTTATTTTTTGTTACTTCTGCGAATAGCTAAACACAATAGTATTTCTTCCACACTCAGGCGTTTGTTTTTATGGTGGGTACAATCACTTGGTGCTGTTAAGAATCGTATTCTTTTGATTAAACTCGTGTTAATCGTTCAAGGGAAACCATTTCTATTACCTGGAGCCGGTTGACGCACCCTGAGAGCCCGCTGTTACAGGGACCATGTCGGCAGCAGCGGCGGACTTCCACTCTCAAATCGCCTCCATCATGGAGGTGCTGGCCAACGCAGCTGTGGCTGAAATATGCAAAGTGGTCGACGACGGCTACACGGTGGTACAGTTGGAAGTGTCCCGGAGTCAGAAGGAGAACGAGAACAGAATCAAATTGCTAGAACTGCACGTCTCCCGTTACAGAGCAGAGAGGCTGAAGGGAGCGGACGGCTCTGCTGGATACGGCCGCTTCCCCGCGATTCGCCTCAACCGCCAGAACAGGGAGTCGTCGGGTAAGAGGTCTTTTCCACTCTGGTACGAACCCATTGACGTGCGGGGACCATCCAAATAGTGGTGGCTACTTAATCAAACCACACCCGTTAGCGCAAAGCAGCACGGGCTTCAATTAATGGTTGTTTTGCTATTGGTTATTTGTCTAGTTTGGACTGCGGTGAATAACAGTCAATTGATTTTTCTAATAAAAAAATAAGAAAAATATAATAAACTAAATAATTTAAAGTGACAGTGTTTTACAGACCTGAACAGTATTTTGTTAAAATAAACAGACACGGTTTGTTGTAGGCATGTAAACAGCATAAAATAGCAACAGTCAATAATACCATAGTTAATATTTGTCCCCTTTCTGCTCTTCAGAAGTGGTTACTGTTGATGCTACAGGTCCAAATATGAGTAGTTATACACACGTGCACACCACAGAGGCAACAGAAACACCACAATGAAATAGTGGTATATTTTTGATTCTGGAAAATTGCATTTATATGAGATTTTTCTCAGCACATAAAGGGGACTATGGTTAAGTAGGTACTTCCACAGGAGTTTACTAAAGTAGCTGTTGAAGCATAGCAGCCTCTGAGAAGCAGAGCACTTGTCATTCACACACTTCTCCCAATCTGCCCAAAGGCGCCTCTGTGCAAGTCAGGACCAGGTTTCTGAATCGAGCACCAACTACTCAGATATCTGTGCAGAAGAATCAGTCCATCATTGTGGATCAAGATCCGGATCAGGAGGTTGTTACCACCACGAAATCTGAGGTAGCCATTCCACTTCCACACTTTAGTGCACTTCGTTACGCTGCTTTGACTGGTCAAAAGAAGCCATTTTTAAATGGGTTTGTCTTCACAGCCAGCAGAGGCAGAGGCGGAGCTGCTAATTGTCAAGGTGGAGGGGGCAACGGAGGTTGAAGTCCCCGTGAGTGAGGTGCCACCAGTCGCGATCACCAGTCCAGAAGGACAAGGACGCACCAACACCTCTGCTGTCACCACTTCACCTTCGGCTGCTTCTAAGGACAACAGTGGCGACCAGCCGGCACTCAGCAACGTAATGGAGGTCAGTGGATCTGACGCCATCACCTTTGTTGTGGGCAAAACAGCTGAAAGTGAGAGCAGCCATCAGCTGATGGGAATTGATGTCAGAGCAGGGGACAGTGATGGGACAGTACACAGTGACACATCAGCTTCTGGCGATTACACAGCAGGTAGCAGGAACGCTAAAGTCGCCACATTAGACACCTCCAAGCCTGTCAAGTCAGAGGTGATAGTAATCGATGGGGATGGGGCATCGGAGGAAAAGGAATGCGAGTGGTCACATGCAGAGCAGTTAAGCAGAGAAGCAGGCAGAGGTAGCAACGACAGCGCAAGGCAGAAAACGGGAAGACGAAGAGCAGCGCTTCTTTCTGGTGACTCGTTAGGAACCTCTATTGGTGGAGCTTCTTTCAGCATCAACTCTGCCAGTGACACTCATGGCTGCCCCAGGAGTTTGTCCAACAACGACCACCAGAACTCATTCAATAGTAGCAGCATCTTCGCTCAGCCTTATCCCTACCACTCTGCCACCACAGACCGCCCACACGGCTGCACCCTTTGTAGGAAACAGTTCTCATCAGAGTTGGACCTCCGAAAGCACCTGGCCAGGCACAGCAGAATAAGGCCGTACACCTGCAACCTGTGTGGCAAGAGCTTTGTGTGCCAGAGTCAGCTGGAAATCCATGGAAACGTTCACACCGGAGAGAGACCCTTCATCTGCTCCTTCTGCAACCGACACTTCTCCCACCCCAGCAACCTCAGGAGACACGAGAAAATCAAGCACGGAGTGCCAAGAATTTAGAACCCTCCTTGTTTTCATCAGTGAATTTCTGAAAGTACAGTTTTAAGGACAGAACAATAAGTAACGGTCACATTTTCACCACGTTGAAAAGGACAACTAATTGAGTGCCTGGCAATGGATCTCCACAAAACACACACACAACGATTGAGCAAATGACATTGTTAGTGTAAAAAGGAGCACAATCACATTCAGGTTAACAGTTGTCATTGCTACCAGAAAGCAAACATTACACTTTCAAGCCAGAAGGTGGCGGTTATAGACTTTTCACTGTGATGCTAAGGTGTTCACGCATCAACAATGCTTTCGTAAGAAAAGCAACAGTTGGAGCAAACAAACAGTAGTTGGAGCTGTTTTTTCTTATCTAAGGTTAGAAATGCAACCTCGAACCAAAGGTCCCTGTCTCTTGGGCAGGATTATTGTGTTGGAAAAAACAAAGTCCTGGTAACTTCCATGCCTCTCATTCAGGTATCAACTTGAATCTCATTCAAAGGTTTTAGAATATCTAGAGTTTTCACATAGTCCATAAACTCTTCAGTACAACATATGTTCATATGTTCAGTAAGGTTTTTGGGTTTGTTTAGTCCATAAACTCTTCAGTACAACATATTTTTGTTCAGTAAGGTTTTTGGGGTTTGTTTTCATTTGGTGGAACTCACAAAAGTTATAGTGTTTGCTGAGAAGTGTTAGTTCATTTGACCTGAAAGGTCTGTAAGTCGTTTTCCTTCCAAAAAAGACACGTACAAAATGCATCTGGTGCACTACTAAAAGTGACCAGAAGCTGGAGATATTTGCAATACTTGTGTTGATGGGTTAAAAGCACAGGCTCAGTTTCGTTGTATCCCCGTGTTACAATGACAATATGACAAACAAGACCATAAATATCTAAATATCTAAACAAAAACATCATAACACTTCCTGTCTAGAGACTTCTTTTTAAAGCTGAGACAGAAAGGAAATACATTGTGGTAGAAAATAATAGGATATAATAATAGGATAAATCCTGTGGTCACACATTGTTATTCATGTTATATGTGGATAACAAACAATACCAATTAGCCTTTTTGCCAAAACATTTGATAAAAAAAAAAAAGATCCCCTTCTATGGATTAAATGTTTATATGTTGCTCAAAACAATGATTTTTTAAAAAGATGTTTTATTTGTGTATTCTCTTTTCCCATATTTGCAGCAATAAATCATATTGTTTACGAGACTGTCCTTGTGGTTTCATGTCACGCAATGCCCCTGTACAACATCCAGTAATTTCTTTTGCACGACCCGACTCCCAAGTGAATAATAAAAAAGAAAAAAGAAAGAAAGAAAACAGTATTTGCCTGTGCTGGCGAGTGAGATATCACTTTAGAATCTAATTGTACTGGTACTGATTGCAAGGACACACAAGTGATGTGTAGAGCTATAGTAACTACAGATTTGTGAAGTGGATCATGCATATCATTAAGACAAGGAAATTAATGTTACAGTGAGATTTAAAAACTGAGAGTTTCAAACCAAAAGTTTAATTTTGGCTTCACGCCAGGAAAAAAAAACTAAGGGTAAAGTAGGAGTGGCTAAAAAGTACACAAGGGTGGTACAGGACACGCACATGGTCAGAGGGACAATGGGTATACTATACACCAGGGATAGCAAATTAAGCTTATACTACATTAATGAGCTGTAACAATGTGTTTATGCTCATCTTCTACAGCTATCATTGTGTGCAACTTTACAAAGTAGAACGAATTACTGCGGGATTTCCCTGTAGGGGTTTGAAGACAGAAAGGCTACAACAGACATTTTGTTGATTTTGACATTAAATGAAGTCTTCCAAATTAGAATCTGAAAAGAAAAATTTTCTTAAAAAAATGGGAAATGTATGTATGTAAATGTATTTGCTTTTATTCCTTAAATTTAAACTGATTGCTTTGACTCCTTTGATAACTTTGTTGTTGTCCATCGCTGTTCAGGCCTTGTATACAAAGTGAGGATAATATTATTATTTTAAGTCTTAGAACTGTGACCTTTTTAACCGTTGATCATTTTTTATATTGGTAGTGAGTTGGTACTGAGTTGGCAAGTGTTCAGGCCTTGTATACAAAGTGAGGAGAATATTATTATTTTAAGTCTTAGAACTAAAACCTTTTTAACTGTTGATCATTTTTTTTATTGGTAGTGAGTTGGTGCTGAGTTGGCAATACGTTTCATTGTAAGTGGTATTATTGTGATAGACTGTAAAAGGATAGTAAAGTGATTCATATGTGGATATGTGAGGCACGTACTGGACAGTCCTATCTGAAAATAAACCAACTGTTAAATGGAATTCAAATGGAATAATAAAAAGTTAATTATCTCCTTACCTTCTTTCAGGGACTGAAAAACAGAGGCAGTCCTGAGGACTCCAAGGAAAAGATTCTTAAAATGCAAGGTATCAACCCATAACATAAGTAGTTTTGCTTAAATCTTCTTGACAAAATAAAGATTTTAAATTATGTTTTTCAATCATGTTTTTTCTTGTTACAGACTCACTAAGTGCCGTCTCTGAAAAAAACAAGCCTCCCTCTGTCGTGATGGAGAGCAATCCTGCTGATGATGTGAAGCCATCTTGTTTTATGTATGCAGTAGAGAGCGGAGAAGGAAGTTTCTTGCCCTGTCATCCAACGTTGACAACTGCCTCCTCTGGCTTCCCTGCTGTTCCGAATATCCTCCAGGACGACATCAGTCGGTCAAGGCAGAGGTTCGAAAGAGACATTGCCTTGGTCTCCTCAGGGACACTTGGGCTGGCAGATGAATCCAGAGGGTTGTTGTCAAATGGAAAGGACCAAAGTGTTGGCGTAGACGAAGTGATGCCTCCAAGCAGTGTGACGTCCCAGTATCAGCCCTTGATGTTTGTTCAGAACAAAGCTACTCCTAGTGAAGCCTACGATGGTAGAAATCAGACACTGACATTTAATGAACCACCTGCTCCTCTGGCCAAAGTAAATTCCCAGCAGGTGCACAACTCATGGTCTGAAATGGGACAAACTGATGGTGCCCACTTCTCTGGTAAAAGTCAATATCTAGACTCTGGTCTGACAGACACACTACGAAGCCATCAGCAGCAGCAGCCGCAGCTGCAGCTGCAGCAGTCACAACATTCTTTACCCTTTGTCTGCACCTTCTGCCTGCGTCGCTTCGCCCACCAATGCCAACTTCGCATCCACAAGCGAATCCACACCGGAGAGAAGCCCCATCAGTGTGGCCAGTGCGGCAAGAGCTTTGGCCAGTTTTCCAGCCTGAAACGCCACCAGATGGTCCATACTGGGGAAAGGCCGTTTCCCTGTCCCCACTGTAGCAAGCAGTTCTCTACCTCTGCCAACCTGAAGGTCCACCAGAGTGTCCACACCGGGGAGAGAAGGTTCAAGTGCTCCAAGTGCAGCAAAACCTTCTCCTTCCTTAGCAACCTGATCAGGCATCAGGCGATCCACACACAGAAGTAGACCCATCTAAATTAGCGCATTTTCATGACAGACAGATGTGAAATGTATAGTTTAACATTGCCCGCCACGGCTGGAAGTACAGCCGGTGCCCAACTTACGAAGACTACAATTCTGAGAGGCTGTTCGTATGCTGCGTTGTTAGTAAGTCGTCGAGGCTGTTCGTATGCTGCGTTGTTAGTGACCAGTCGTTAGATATTAAATCTCAATCCATAATTGCTATTTAAGATCCTTTAAATGCACTACTTTAAATAAGTACTACTCTACATAAAAACAACACAAACATAATTATACAGTATATGACAAAAAGACAAAAAAAAATTACAGTAGTACTTATTAGCATATACTGGTACATAAGCCTAGAGCGCCCTCTAGCGACTCTCAGTGTAAAATTAACAAACGTAAACTTTTAGTGGTACAGGACTAACAGATACTGATACGTAAGCCTAGAGCGCCCTCTAGCGGCGGTCAGTGTGAAAATAACAAACGTGAAATTATACATTTTAATATATAAGTCGCAAACCCAGGCAAAGGATGGAAAAAGTGCGACTTATAGCTAGGAAAATACGATAGTCAGTTGTGTGCTATGAAGTAGCACTGTTGGGAAATGGGTAGCTCTGTCATATTTTTTCCAGTATCTGACAGTTGTTTTCTGTTGATCTCTCAAATAAATATTTTGTTGGAAATAACATGTATTATCTCTTGTTTTGCTTCCTTAATTACATGTTTACTGTTTAAACTTACTTGACTTGCTTTGAATATATATATATTTGTAGTTCCTGGGAATCAAAGTTTATCAAAAGGTGTTAGAAGACCCTAACTATTCTCAAAAACAAATCCAATCCTATATATTTGTCAACTAAACGTTTTAAATCATGCCAACATACTTTATAAGTTTTACACTGAACTATAATACGTTTAATTAAGGGCAAAAACTGAACCTCGTCCAAGCTGACTCGAGTGACACTTAACAACAACCTGACGTCATCAGAAGGCGACGCACGCATCTCCTAGAGACAACGTTGTTGATCTGCAGCAGCACAGACACATAGACCGACACGTAGATATAATTAGAGAAGACACCAAAAGAGACAGACTCCGGTCCCTCGATACATGTCTTCACAGCTGCTCGACTGTCGACCCACTGATAGCCGAGCATTGTCGCGGGAATCGGTCCGTGTATACACACACTGTCCGGGCTGGGGATGATGGCGGACTGCGTCGGCTTCCAGGCGCAGATCGCCTCCATCATAGAGATCCTGGCCAACTCTGCCGTGGCAGAGATCTGTAAGCTGGTGGAGGATGGATACGCGGCGATACGGGCGCAGATGGAACAGGAGCGAGACAACAGCGAGAAGGAGAAGGAGGTGCTGCGGCAGAAGTTACGGGAGGTGGAGCTGAGGATGAGGAGCTGTGAGAGGAAGATGAAGAGGCGCATGCACCGGGATGAGATGAGCGGAGGGACGTTAAGACAGTGTCCAGGTAAAAGTGAGGAGGAAGAGGGAGGAACACGTGACAACACAGTTGCACACACGTGTCAGACTTGATACATTGGTATCCGCCTGTTCCTCTTTGGCAAACCGTTAATTTCCTCATCATCTGAGGGTCGCCAGGCATGGACCTTGGTCTTCTAATAATTTCACAGATTTTCTATGGGACTCAAGTCAACTTTTTGTGCAGATCAAAAAGAATCAGTCTTGCGGAAGTCACAATCAAAACCTCTGTTGCGTTGAGTTTTAACTTAGAGTTGAGTTGTAACTTATTTACAACTGAACAAGAGTTTAGAGAAGCGATGTCCGATATGAACTTTTTACCGATATCCAATATGCCGATATTGACCAAACACTCTGATTCCGATATAGCCCGATATCAACCGATACCGATATAGCGTGGTAGTGGTTGTCCCCTGCACCCAAATTAAAATACTATTGTGCGTCCGGTAATATTTATTTGTTTATCTGTACAAACAACTGTATGAGTTGATGTCACCAGCAGACTGCATGCTATCCCCTGATTATGGAAATAGGTTAACAAAGCCTCCTCTGCTGCCATCTGGTGACTTGAGACTTGTTTATCGTTCATAATCTGTTCATGTGTCATGAAGGACAGTTACGGGTATGGGAGGGGGCAGGGAAACCCAGGCAATGCGTTATCGGGCTTTCATTATTAAAGGAAACAACGATAACACATAATTATGCTGATGATATTGGTCGGCCGATATTATCGGATATCCCTAATTTGGAGCATTACTATTTTAACCCACAGTCAAATTTTGCATTACCGTTCAATAGGCCTAGAGAAGTGTTACAAATGTAATACTGGCTCATCACATTTTACTTTTTTTTTTTCTAAATTGAAAGACGTTCCACAAAGAAATTTTAAAAAAGCTTATGTGAAATCTAATTTCACTGTCTACAGGGACTGGGTAAAATTGACAGCCTGCCTCTCTCTCTCTGTCTGTCTCTCGCAGCACCTGTTGACCATCAGTCTGTGGTGTCGTCTCCTCGTGCCGCCACCAAAGATAAACTGTTGGAACATCACATCTCACGGGTGAGTTTTCAGGGCATGGACAACACCGACTTATCAAGGCAATTATAGCATACAGTTAGTGCTCAACCCTCCCACTCCCCCTCCAGAGTTTTATCACTGCAATACTATACGCAAGTACAATTAAAACACTTTGTCAGTGACAGATAATAATTCACCTCGGTGTGTCTCATTACTTTCTCCCACAGGAGGAAACACAGATTCTGCCTCTGGTGAAGCAGGAGAACATTGAGAATGACAACTGCAACCTGGACCTCAAGTTGGAGGTGAACATTCGGGCAGAGTGTGGCTTTACCTCTGGTGAGTTTTAGTGACACAATAGATGGAAAGTGGGGAATAAACCCATAGCTACATATTGATAGGGCTTTAGTTTTAGAAGAGTTCAAATTGCAGGTCTCGGGTCCCCTGGTTGTTAGAAAGACAGAGAGAGAGAGGGAGGGAGAAAGAGAGGTAGAGATTGGTAGATAAATAAATAGAAAGAAATGAGTGATTTTCATAGGTCCAGTGACTCAGACAGTGACAACAACACTGGGAAACAAATATGACCACCGCAATTTCCTGATTATAAGCCGCAAGTTTTTCCAGATGCTTTGAAGCCTGCGGCTTAAACAACAATGCGGCTAATGTAGTTCATACCGCTAGCTCGAGATCAGACATTTCTGGTAGGCTTCTGTGTGTGTATATGTGCGTGGCACACCCGCGAGAGAGAGCGGGCTTTAGTTTTAGAAGAGTTCAAATTGTAGGAAAGATCTAACATGTAACCAGCCGTGTTACAGGCCGTGTTGGAAAAAAGCATTTATTTAAGTGAAAGTCAAATGATCTGTTACTCCATAATGCCTGTAAATAAATCTATAATTTTTTTATTTTTCTCTTTTGTCTTTTTCTCACACTGGAGCAATGGAACATAATCGAGACTCGGCTCCTCTCAGTGAAGGGGGTGACACCAGTGTTTCACACGTCTCCACAGCACCCACCCCTTCTTCTGCCAACGACAGCACAATGGACCTAACATGCCGTCCTCGAGCAAAACGTAAACCCACAAAGCCCTTAGGCAACAGCGTGGTGGGCGCCGTCTGTGAGACCACTCATAGGGAACTCGGGGGGAGTCTAAATAATGGAGGCCCTAACTCAGAAAATGAGACCGAGAATGTTGCAGAAGAAGAACTCCATCCCTCACAGTTTTCAGCAACTGTAGCATCAGACGAGCCAAGCCCTGAACATCTCAACAGTCTGGGCCTGGACCTGGCCTGGATGCAGGAGAGGGTCAGCCATCTTGGTGCAGCGTATGCAGTAGCGCAGTTGGGTTTGGGAAGCACTGAACCTGGACACTCCTCCACTTCTTTTCCCTCAGAGGCCGGCGGAGACAGCTTAGATAGTCCCTCGACGATGCTTTTCACAAGTGCCAACGAAATGGCAGCCTTTGCCGCCTCCTTTGATATGGCCGCCGCCACTGCCATCATAACTGCGCCGCCTCCCCCTACTGCTGCCTCTGCCAACACAACCGCCCAGAGGCGGCCCTACAGGAGCAGAGCCACTGCTGCCGCTGTAAAAGAGCCCGCAGTTTGCCCCGTGTGCGGTCGTCTCTTCCCGACAGCAGCTGCTCTGGAGCTACATCATCGGCTGCACACAGAGGACAGACCCTACACCTGTCCCCACTGCGGGAAAGGCTTTGCCCAGCCCAACAACCTGCGGGTCCACCTTCTCATCCACACCGGAGAGAGGCGTTACAGATGCACCCTGTGCGGGAAGAGCTTCATCTCGTCCAGCCATCTCAAGAGGCACCGCACTGTCCACACCCAGGAAAAACCCTACAGCTGTTCACGCTGCGGACAGGCCTTCAGTCAGATGTGTAGCGTTCGCAGACACCGCCAGCAGTCTCAGTGTGGAGTATAGACTGACCGTAGGGGGACGTTTGTGTAATCAAATTTTGAATCTGATTAGGGTAAACCATTGGAAGGAATCGTCTGGATTAAACTCTCAACGTGCACCCGGGTGCGCTCAGATTTTTGCGCGTGCAAGGGTCCATATCGACCTTATACGACTGCCCAGCGTCTGTGACAACTCGTACTATTAGTGCCAACCATTATTGCTCTATGTAGCACAACACGTTCCAGTCAGACCTTTATTATGGCGATAAAGGACATCCGCTGAAAGAGATCAAGCAGTAGCAACATCCGTACAACTTTAAACATCCTATACTGTAAGTGGTGGTAGGGCAATGCAAGGTATCATTGAACAACATCCTATACTGTAAGTGGTGGTAGGGGAATGCAAGGTATCATTGAACACAGTGGTTTGTTCAACCAAAAATATGTCATTTTAAATAAGCTTAAAAATAAAGCTTATTTTGCTTTATGGTGAAATGGTTCTGGTGTCACAGTGCCGAAAATCTCCAACAATTCCAAAAAGTATAGCCAAAAATTCATAAACAACTAAAAGAGTGCAGATTTGAATATTTTTGTAATATTTTCGTTGTCTGCCTTTCGGTCCAAAATCAGGTTTGATTTGACTTGCAAATTTAAAAAAAAAAAAACATTTACAGGTAAAAGCCTCATGTGGATTCATCTCCAATTGTCTTCCTGTTCTATTTGTTTTGCTGTTGTTCCTGATCTGCTGAAGTTTTACAGCTCCCATATTCTGGTGCGGTTTTATTCTCTGCGCTGTCCTTTAAAATGGCGAAAATATTAAATATATGTCAGAAAGAGAAACAAAAAAGACTGTGAAAAGGTGTAAAGTATATATGAATATTTATATGGAGAGTGTTGTTTGTGCGTGTCAGTGTTTTGATGCCGTTGGCGGCAGATGTATTGTCTTTGACCACTAGCTGTGTTCGTAACGATGTGCGAGTGTCATTATTAAACGTGAACAAGTTTTGCAGTGAACCCTAAATACTCCATTGTGTTTTTATTGATCCGAGACAGAGGTTACTTCAAGGCAGGGGTGTCCACACCTTTTCGGCTTGGGAGCTGCTTTTCAAATGACCGCGGTAAAGTGATCTACCTACATTGAAAACTATAAATATATATTTACTGCTTTGATTAAATGGCTGTAGTTGTATGGCACAATACCATCTGACTCAACACTTTTATGGTCCTTACTTTAGCGCTAGTGATTAGCATCTTAAAATAGAATTAAATTTATCATTTTTTTTTTTTGCTTCTTTAAATGTAATTGCTCAGGATCTTACTCCCTTTGAGATCTACTGGTAGATCCCGATCTACTTACTGGTCACCCCTGCTACGAAGTATTACCGAGAAGGTACCTGTAAGCAATATGGGCGCCCTTTAACTTGTTTGTTTCCAATGGGACCAATGTTCGGAACATTTAACATTGACATGACAGTGTCTTGGGACAGCCAGAAGACATACCCTTGACGAGCGGAAAGATCGCGAGGCAACGTGTAACAGATGTCACTCGTACGCGCAAACTCGGGGCCGCATGTTTACGTTATGAAAACCAAATGCACATATGTGAGTATAAAAAAGATAAATATCGTCTTTTATTTGATAACTTTAAAAAAAAAAAAACGTTTCGTTTACGTGAACAGATGAGAAGGCCCCAATGGAAAAAGTCACGTATTAATAATTTGCAACCCAATTCAGTTGGTCGTGATGAGTGGTTCTCAAACTATGGTACATACTGCTGGTTATTGTGCACCCGGTGGTCAATCAGCGGATGTACATCAAATAAACCACCACAGTGTTCACTTCAGCCCATTCCTCCGCCCCTTCCTATTTGTGGATTGCAGCCCGTGGCAGACTGCTGGTGTGTCCGTAGGTTGCAGATCCAGGCAAAAGTCTTGCCGCACCGGTTGCAGCGGAAGGGTTTCTCCCCCGTGTGAACCCTCTGGTGCTTCTTTAGATTCCCAGCCTCAGAAAAGTGTTTGCCACAAGTGTCACAGCGATAAGGCTTCTCCCCCGTGTGGACCCTTTCATGGGCCTCTAGGTTCGACTGACCAGTGAAGGCTTTGCCACATATTCGGCAAATGAAGCTCCTTCTCCGACCCTCGCTGTGCATTATGCTGGCTTCCCGACTTTTTTGAACTAGGAAATGTGCTCGCTGCTGGGCTGCTACGGTGGCCTCAATGCCAGCCAACACTGATGATGATGAAGGCTGTGAAGCTATGGTAGAGCTCATAGTCCTGGAGGCGGAACTAATGCCTAAAATGTTTGACGTATCACTATTGTGAGAGCCAGATTTAGCAGAAACTGCACTAAGAGAGAGTGTTCTTTTTGCACCTGCGTGACCCCGTGGCATCCGCTGCAGCTCCTGCATTCTCCTCATCGCACCCGCTTTGGTCCAAGAACGCTGGGAAGACGGTACCTGCATGCTCAGGGTTGCGGACACAGATGCCCCTGCTGACAGAGATGGGGACAACATCTTTAATTACTTGAACTTTTTCCAAACATAACCTACTTTCTCCCGCTTCCTGCCAAATAATTCGTTCACCTTGTGTTAGAGACGGTTGAATGTGAGCCGCAGAGGACAAACTCATCCTCTGACGAGTCGTTGATGGTTCCGTCTCTACGATGGTGACTTCATCCGGGTCGCACTCAGTGTCAGCGTCGTCAGTGCAAGAAGCGCCACCAGCGGCTGGTCCAGGGTCAGGATCAGGGGCCCAGCGAGTGAAGAATGTCTCCAGCTCAAACAGGGAGTAGTCGGAGGAAAGTGTGCTACTGCTGCTGCTGCTATTGGATATTTTAGGTGGTGGTGGTGGTGGTGTGTTGGACGTGGTTGGTGTGTTCTCTTCTGCTAACCCATGCTGGACCGTTGTAATCCTGATGGTTTCTTCGGATATGCTGGGAGTTGACTGCGGAACATAAAGGAGAGAGTTTAAAGACACTTGAGAAAAGTTTGAGGATGAACTTTAGATGAAGAAGAAGGTCATAATTGTCATTGTAAAACAACAGAATTTACTCTGGACCCCGGGGCTGGGCAGGGGGATTCAAACCTAGGTCCTCCAATTACCGAATCATTCCTCTCACACTAGGCCACAGACCGAGTGCGTACTCCCTTAGCAAGTACCTTGGCTTAAGAACATTACACAACGGTGAAGCATATTGTCCTTCATCAGAAGTACTTTGAAGATTATTACAAACATTTAACAAGGTGAGAGAAGTACAGCAGCCATTTTGACAAATCTTGGCCGGCGTACATGTACGTCATGCTCTACCGCCATCATGCGTAAATTTCCCCTTTGAATCCAGCTAACTGGATAAACGAATGATGATATCTGTGGTTAAAAACAACGTGCCCCAGAAGAGGCCACTGCTTACGTCTAACACTGCACGGCAGTCGATTAAACAGTACTATTGTGTCACAATTTTGTAATATGCGGTTTGCAATAAAAACACAGATTCGAGTTCATTTCTTTGTGATAAGGTTTAATTGTTGACAATGCAAATTGTGTACAGTGATAAGGGATAATTACAAAAATGTGACACAATAAAAAAAAATAAAAAGAGAAAACCCTGCTTTTTACATTTGCAGTATAGACTTGTTCAGACAACAGATTAAAAAAAGTGAAAATTCATCGATAAGCCAAACGATTAATAATACCAAAAGGGAACCATCCATCCATCCATCCATCCATCCATTTTCATCCGCTTATCCGTTACCGGGTCGCGGGGGCAGCAGTCGTCACCCAAATCACATTGCACCGTACCAACCCCCCTTAAACCTTCCTGCAGGTGGTGAGTCCACTGGAAGGTATCAACCGCCCTAACCGGGATTCGAACTTGCCCAGGAGGTGACCACCAATGACAGAGACATTGCCTCTGGGCCAAAGCGCCACACCAAAAGGGACGTTACAGAAAATATTTTCAAGTGAAACAAGTAAGTAATATGAATATAAATGTCCACTTATCATTATGCTATGAACCACACGAGTCAGTCTGAGGTTGACTCTAGACTGCCGTACTGGCTTAAGTCAGTTCGATGGACCAAAGATACTAGAGTTCTTCGAGGCCCATCCTAAAATGACAAGAACTAAACGTGTTGTGATGATCGCTGGAAGCTCAAGAGACTTGTTGGGTCTTAACGTGTAACACCAAAGATTTGAAAAGAGACCCCAAGGAGACATCAACCCTCCACGGTAGGGTTTTGATTCTGTCAGCTGATGATGCCTACGTACCTGTGCAACAGTAACACTATGTAAAAAAAAAAAATAATAATACTGTCAAAAACGCCAAATGTATGCCCAACTTAGCCCTAGGCTGAAAACGATTTACAGTAAACTACGTGGAACCCTCAGGGACCCATAGCATGGCCAGGCTCCAAATGTGCCCCTGGTAACAGGCCTAACTGTGGGTGGAGCCTCTTCTGGTGCTTTTTCATGTTGCTCGGATCAGAGAACCTCTCCGGGCAGAGGGAGCACTGGTATGGTCTCTGCCCAGTGTGGATGTTGGTGTGAATCTTTAAGTTCCAGAACTGGGAGAAGTTTTTGCCGCAGATACTGCAGCCGTACGGCTTCTCCCCGGTATGAGTCCTTACGTGGGATTCTAGATTGGCCTGGGACTTGAACACTTTCCCGCAGAACTTACATATGTTCGCCTTCTTCCTGGGTGTTACCTGCTTCCTTGGACCAACACTGCGGTGCCGGCCCTGACCCTGGCTTCCCCCCGGGTCCTCGTATGAATGGGCACCCTGGACCGTCAGCCCCTCCTGCTCTGTGTGACCTGACACCTGAGAGGGACTGGAGTCTTCTGACAAATCAATAACGATGCAGTGCTGCCGCTCAAAGGAGGCCTCAAGGTCTACTGAGCTGTCATGCGCTAACCCCCGCGCAGAGCTGCCCTCCTCTGACTCCATCGGTGGATCGGACAAGAAAGAGAGGGAAGCACAGTGTGAAGACGGCCCGGCGAGGCGATCTTCATCACAGTAATTGACCTCCCCATTAGTCCACAGTGAAGACTGGCCATAGCTGACCTCTGTGAAGCCCCCCCCAGACTCTTGCAGGTCCGACAGGGTGGCCTGGGAGGGGTCTTCGATAAGCAGACCTCCTCTGTAGTCATCTGTGCTCGACTCCACCAACCCTGGACACAAGGTAAAGGAAACCAGGTGAGATTAAATACCAATTACTTGTTCATGTAACGCATGACAGCCGCTAGAGGGCACTCTAGGCATGTGTACCAGTATCTGCTACTACTGTACCCACTGAAAATCTACATGTAGTTATTTTCACACCGACAGCCGCTAGAGGGCACTCTAGGCTCCTGGAACAGTTTCTG